TCTTTGCATAAACCAACACAGCGACCCGGATGTCGCTCATAACTGCAAAGTTATCTAAACTGAAAGAGAGAATATTATATCAATTCCGACTTGTTTGATATATTACCCGTGCTAATTTAATTTAATGACAAGATAAGGTATCTGAAACATATTTAATGCCCTGGTCACATTTGTTTCGATTTTCGCTACGGCGCCCGGCCGATCGAGTATTTTGTTCAAAATGAATACAATATTGAACAAAACATTCAATCGACCGGGAAGCGGCCGATGGATCGGAGCAAATGTGACCCATTAAAGTTCGCAATACATTTGGTCTCGTTGTTGCTTTTGTTTGCCTCTGTCGAGAATTTGTTATAACCCTGGTATGGAAAAGAAGCGTCCAGACTGAGACTTTTGAATCAAATAGAGCGTTATAGTTTGCAAGTCGGATATACTGTCATCATGTGTTATACTGTATTAATTTGAAAGTCAAGCACTGAACCTAAAGTCGAAGTCATTCATGCAACGGTCACATTTGCTTCCATTTATATTCTGTCCGGCGTTCGGCCGATAAGTATTTTGTCCACAATTGAATTCAGTTTTGAACAAAATACTCACAGACCAAGTATCTGTACTGAATAGCGGAGCAAATTTGACCATGGCCTAACGTTTACCATTGGTAGTCATAGGATAAGGCTCTTATATCTCCTGAGCTGATGAATGACATCCGAATGTAAAGTAACCTCATGATTGCTAGAACGTTTTGAGTAAAGAGGAATTTTATTTTTGGATAAGTGGCAAATATATCACATGTTAAACAGTATTTTATTTGCCTGTAAATTGCAATTTAAGTTAACAAGGAACAGTTACCAATGTAATTAATCATAAAATCTCAGTCTTATTCGTTCATCAATGGAAAAAAGGAACTAGTCCTGTTTGAATGAGCGATTTATAACCACGACTACTGCAGCAGCATTTAAATGTGCTCTAATATTCACGATGACCTTGGACAATGTTCTAAATATTGGTGCAAAATAAGTCCAAATATGTTTTAGAAACTGAACCTGTTTCATTTGAAAAGAAGTTATCTCTCCAGGACAATCAGTGATGTCCCATTATAATTGCTTTTCAAGTTCAAGGGCAGGTTGGCTCATTTATTTTCGAATTTCCGACCGTCAAAGGATTGGTATCGATATGGTGAACTTCTTGACGTTTCTCTCAGACCAGTAATTAAACAATTCTGACATTTTACATATCGTCAATTTAATGTAATAGTCATCTTTTGAATGGTAAAAATATAAAAAATGTTTAGGTGTCTCAATACTGTATTGTACAAAGGAAAGTTTGGTTGATTTAAAAAAGGATATTTTAATTTTTAAATGAAATCAAAGGTGTCATATTATGTATTATAATATAATGATATCGTTTTCGTTTGCCATCGAAAACAGTGTCGAGTTTGTAAGACAGTGAAAACTCCATGCTTTCCGGTTTAGGCTAATGTAATAAACAGAAATTAAAACTTCATACAATAATCTAATTAAATTGCATAATCATCATCTCACTCTTTGAAAATAAAATACATTACATACAGCAAAGAGGAGGGAAAACCCATGATTCAATTGATGACATACGATTTCCTCCTTCGCGCACCTCATTTCCCGGAAGTACGTATATTTGTTTACAAAATGGCGACTTTCATATTCTGACCTTTTTTTAAACCAATCAACGATCGACTCGCTAAACCAATCAGCGACGATGTCATCTCAATACAGATTTACATTATAAGCGTATGTCATCTTTGAACCCTGGGGTTTCTCCCCCTCTTCAGCACATCCATATCATTTCAGAGAGTATGACGTTTTCTGGTTCTATTGCGTCAGGGTGGAAATTAGGGGATTCCACATGAGTTTGAAAGGGTTATTTGAAATTAATTTATTTGTGTCGAGCATTGACGAAGTAGCCTTCATCCCTCTTGGGGCTTTATAAAATTTTAATTCACTGTACTTACTGTTACACATATCATTACAGCCGAACGGAAACCATCAATCTAGATCGTTCGGATAAATGCTGCAGTACGCAACAAATGATTGACGACATACTGGATAAATATATGTATGATACGGAACAAGTCTAAAAGCATCATTTATTTCAACTGATCATGCTCATCTGGCAAGGGCATACTGTTATATAAATACACGAGGGAACGGAAGAATGCTCATTAGAGTGGGTGCAACGTATAAACACCGCTCAAAGTGTCTTCATTATCCTAGCTGATTGTTTTTCCTTTCTTGAGTAGACTATCATTTTTTACAATGCCAAAGGCTTTAATACTAATTGTTATGAAAATGACACGACTTATTTGCATGGCGGGCCTTGCTACCACATGAATAATACGATCACAAATACGTCGTTTGCGTAGTCGCATAAAAGTACTATTTTTGCCATTAATTAACTTTGTATATTGACAACATGAGCTCTATGTGTTTGCAAAGGAATACAAAAAGCTACTAAAAAATGTAAGCGGCAAAAGAGGCAATAACCCCAGGGGCAATGCTCGGAGATACACGATGTCATCATCAACTTACTTTAAACCAACCGTACAAAAAGCAATACCATGTTTACAAGGTTCACCTGTTAACACATGCTCATCAATTTACATGTTCTTAATGGTCCAGGAATCCATTTCTGGCAATGTTTAACAAACGGACAATTAATCACTAAATGCCAATATAGTGCAGTGTCATGTGGAGTCCATCTAGATAAAGAATAAGACCCCAAAACACGGTTGTTAGACTAGAATTCGAATATTATATGAATAAAATTATATATACCCCCTCCGTAATTTTAAAAACCGGAATGAACCTTTTGGATTATATCAAAGCCGTCGAAAAAGGAAAAAAATAATGTACACGTGAAATCTGCAGATATCGGCACATTTTGATTTTCTGACTGTATTTTAGAAAAGATTAATTCAAATACATAAATCCAATAAATCTACGTGGACATGACAATCTCCATTAGGTGTTGTATTAGGTACATGCGATCTTCAGATCACCTGTAAACAAAATATCATAACATACAGTGCGCAAAGTTCAATATAGTGTCATCCTTTTGTAGTGTCATCCTTTTATGTGTCATATTTATCTTCAAACAGAAATACTATTAACATTTCGAAATGCGATGATTATCAAAATGCTTAAACAGAAAGACATGGAAGATGTGAGGAGTATCAGAATGAGGAATATCATGCTTTAGACAAATATGATTTCATTGTGCAACGGAGATTTCCCAGTTTAATCGACTAGGCTTTAGCACGAATTCTTAACTAATAATACAGAGAAAACCTGACTATTTCTGTGAAACGGCTGTCAATTTCAGTTGTACTAATGTTATAATAGCGTACAGCGAAAATGTAATTTAAATATCTTTCAGTCTGAATGCAATCGACCTGGGCCTGCAATAAATTTAACCCGATGGTCACTGACTCACTTCCTTGAATATAATGCCAAGATACATTTATATTCAACACTTCATTAGTTTTGCCTTCAACTGGCCAGCAATTCTATGGGTTCCTACTGACATATTTCGTTATTATTAACGTATATCGTTATTATTTTCACGAGGGAAGTCAGGCAAGAGCCTTGCCAAGAGGTTACTGATGAGGTACCACATTTAAGACCACATTTTGGTCTTCATAAATGACATTCTCTTAAAGGGGCAACAAGGCCTGTAGAGGGAAAAGGAAACAAGGCAACATTTGACTTAATATCTTCTTTGACATACATATTTTCTTAAAATGTATGGATACACTACCAATAGTCAGCATTAAGAAGTGTAAATTAAGTTCAAAGCTTCAAAAAGGGGAAATTCACTTTTATAATTTTAAGATCCATCATGTTTCAAGAGGAATATCAGCTGAAATAATGTTTATCCAGGGCAGTTCTTTGTAGATAATAAAAATAGATATAAGTCTTGATGAAATATCCAAACTTAAATATATTTTGACACTGGTCCATGATCATTGAATGGCCCCTCTGCACTAATTGTTGCACCTTTACAGTAACAAAGTGTTAAGATGACCGAGTTTAAACCCTAAGACCTCCAAAGTTGTAACTCCTAGTACTCGTGTTCAACTTCTCCGAAGTCCTATTACAGCCTATTTTAGAATAGATCTTACTATAATTGAGTATTTTGGTATCTGTAGTCCTATGATAGAGTGCTTTTGATTGGCAGTACAGTCTTTTATTGGACTGTTGAACCGAGATGAGTAAAAACTAAGATTGTATTTTCTTATGACCGCGGTGCAAGTGAATTTGATACGGTCATTTAATATTTATTTGTTCTACATAGCAATATTTCGCACATACTATTGTGGTATAACCACAATCTAGCTAATGTTGAGGATTAAAATCTTGCTCGCGGTCAATAAAGCATGTACGAAAATGCACACAAGAAGTAATCATGGTTACATTAGTTCCAGTCTTTTGGAGCGCTATTTGTGAATTATGAACAATTATTATGTCGGAAATAATGTTAATGCTGTCGTCATAGAGGTCAAGGTCGCTAAACTATCGACCATTCTTCTTGCAGTTCATTTGCTTGAATTTTACCCTAAAATTAAGCACTGTACAAAATGCCTGAAAATCGAGATGGAACCCTGGGAGCCAATGATATTTGGTAACACATGTGCATGCGTAGTAATTTGCCTAAAGAAAACTTATGATAATATTAAGATTTAGGATAGCATAGTCAGTCATAAGTATTTTTGAAAATTCCCTTAGCCTTGGATTCTATTAATTATAAGTAGGATAGCTTTTCTTGACGTGAATACCTCTAAGTGTATTATTCTGGAGCTCCCTATCAATTTCCTGTCATACGTCGTTACCGATTTCTCAAATAACCCCTTTTCAACATTCGATTGGCGATTCTGACAAATTCAGTTTATCTTTGTCCGTTATCCAGTGGGGTTGGTATCCAGTGGGGTTGTTATCAAGTGGGGCTGTTATCCAGTGGGGTTGATATCCAGTGGGGTTGTTATCCAGTGGGGCTGTTATCCAGTGGGGTTGATATCCAGTGGGGTTGTTATCCAGTGGGGCTGTTATCCAGTGGGGTTGTTATCCAGTGGGGTTTTCATCCAATGGGGTTGTTATTTAGTGGGGTTGTTCCAGTGGGGCTGTTGTCCAGTGGGGCTGTTATCCAGTGGGGCTGTTATCCAGTGGGGTTGTTATCCAGTGGGGTTGTTATCCAGTTGGGATTTTATCCAGTGAGGCTGCTATCCAGTGGGGTTGTTATCCAGTGGGGCTGTTATCCAGTGGGGTTGTTATCCAGTGGGGTTGTTCCAGTGGGGCTGTTATCCAGTGGGGTTGTTATCCAGTGGGGTTGTTCCAGTGGGGCTGTTATCCAGTGGGGCTGTTATCCAGTGTTATCCAGCGCCGTTATCATTGGGATCGTTATCCAATGTGGTCTTTATTCATCGAGGGCGTTCAATATTAGGCCCGTTATCCAGTGGAACCGTTATCCAATAGGGCCATTAAGGGTTGTTATGAAATAAGTCCGATAGCCACTGGGACCGTTATCCATCGGGGCTCTTATCCAATGGAGCCGTTATCAATTTGGGCCGTTATCCATTTGGGCTGTTATACACTTGGGCCGTTATTCACTGGTGCTGTTATCCATTGGGGCTGTTATTCATTGGACCGTTATCAATTCGGGCCGCTATCAATTTGGTTAAAGGGGTAAATGAATAAACATAAGGAGCACATGCGTCTCACACTAATACACACGCTGCTCAACTGTCCTTAATAACCCAGAGCGGGTTAATACCTCTGCAACTGAAAGCTCAGACAGTGGTCATAAATGAATAAACACAAGGAGCACACGCGTCTCACACACACACACACGCTGCTCAACTGTCCTTAAACATTACCAAACTTTTGAAGGAGAGAAATATTTTTGTATATTTAAGGTTTGTAAACGTCAAAATATATATGGATGACCAAACATTTTGTGTGGTGAACAGCACTATAAAGTGATGTATCGCCTTTTTTATTAATAATGATAAGAAATAAATAGTCATTTATATTATTCATGATATCTGGGTCAATATTGCATTAAACATCCGTTGTAAATGACAAATCCATGTTCATAAAAACGTATAACGACAACGTATGGCTCCACTTTGCAAAGTGTTCTAATAAGTGCATATTTATTATTGCAAATACCCCGTTGACGTATGACTTGGATTCAGTCCATTTTCAATTATCGTTTACATGACACTAACATGACACTACATGGCATTCGCGTGCAAATTGTTTAGATTAATAACTTTCCATTTCCATTTTATTCTTTGCTAATACATATGTCATATTTTTTCGATTTCCCATTGATTTTCCTGATTTTAATACGTCAATCATAATGTTTTGTTATATTGAATATCTTTAGATTTTCCATTGATTTTCTCGACTTTAATATGCCCCATCATAATGTTTTTTATATTGAATATCTTTAGATTTCCCATTGATTTTCTCGATGAAGAGCGCTCTATTTTCACTTCACAGACTGACCAGAAAAATGAATTAAAAGCGTATGTAATGAACAATATTTTCGCATATCCGATATGTACAAGACACTAACTATATTTATTTTAATGAATGGTTAAACAACTTATGGTACGTTATATTTGTAAACTATTGTAATAATGTTCAAGAATTGGAATTGAATCATTTTTCACAAATATTGTAATATTGTAAAATGACCTGATGTACTTGTATACAAAGTTATAAAATGAGAAATATATACATGATTTAAAAAAAAAAGATGCTATTCCAATGATGCTATTCTAGTGAAAGAGCTAATTCTTGACACAAGTTAAAAAATCCTGGAATAACTTAGTTTACTTGTATAACTAGCATCTACAACATTTTTTGATGTTAAAAGTATTGGTTATGAAGTTTAAATTTATTCCTCAACAAGTATTGCATTGACTTAGTATGAATGATATGTCCTTTGTTGCTATGATCTCGGACTGTGATATTACAATTTGAATTGTGGGATAGGGGGTGTTAGACATTATTTCTTTTCATGTTGAATTGTGATTCGGGTTAATATGGGTTGACTTTCCTTATTAGATGTTTTCTTTTTCTTGCTGTGTTTGGTGTTTTCCCGAAAGGACTCGCGCTGATATATTTTCATAACTGTTAATTTCAGAATAATCATTTTCCATATTTTTTACAATTAAATTATTCAAAATAGCCATCAATCTCATTCAAAATAGCCATAAATCGAATTCAAAATAGCCATGAATCTCATTTAAAATAGCCGTGAATTGCATTCAAAATAGCCACAAATCGCATTCAAAATAGCCATAAATCTCATACAAAATAGCCATAAATCTCCTTCTGGGTTGACCTGGCATGTATTAAACGGTCTCTACGCTCCAAGGAGGATTGGCTACCAGGGATGCAACTCCGTATTTTCCAACAACGAAAATCAGGAATATTTCTATTTGCATATTTTCAATTGAAAGTGTTATGTTTAGAGTCCTAATACATACAAGTTAATCAGTAACAAGCACAGACATTTAAGTGTAAATCAATGGTGGTATATATTTCTGTCCTTATATGGCACACATATGCTTTTTCCCAAGATTCCATTTAAAGAGCGCCATCTATGAATGTACTCAATAATAATTGATAATTGAACATACATTACATAAAGAGGGACAGTAAACCATGGGTGTCATATGATTTTACCTTTACGTAGAAGTTCGAATCGGTGTCGATCTTAGCATGAGCATTCTCTTAGTTTCTATTAATTTCGTTAGGTGTAATGAGTATGCTTAAAAGATATACAATGTGTCTTACATTCAAAATATCACCAATTATAAGATAGTGCCAAGAGGATACTCTAACTTGACTTACTTTTGTGTTGTTTAAGATACAAAACAATTGAGCCGATGATTTAGGAGGTCTTGTAAAACAGTCGATATTGTCGGGACAAACCTTGGTTAAATGAGTTTTAATAAAATTGTCCCCGTAGTCAGTTCTATGTTAACACAACATTAATACTTAGGAATATCATGCTGAAGAAATCTAATATGCGTGAATTTTTAACAATGTTACAAAGATTGCTATTGGGATTAATAATTTTATCATGCGCAGATTCAGGATTAGGTATGTCAATATATAAGTCTTGCTTCGGGGCCTTGATTATTACTACACACCACGCCTTCCACTGGACATGAACAAGAAAAAGTTGATCGGGGGGGGGGGGTGGAGGGCGGGGTAGGGGAGAGAGACTTGATTGAAGGCTAATTAGCATAATTCTAAACTTTAGATGGTTTAAATATTATGACGTTTGCTTTATATTGACTATGCACTCTGATTGACTATTTTTGAGCAAATATACAAACGGACAATGTGACACATTTTTTGTTGATTCATGAAAATATCTTTGTATTAATTTAAAACATGCGTAAAGTAGTCGGCTTATATGCGTAAATTTTGTATAAATTTAAAACATGCGTAAAGTAGTCGGCTTATATGCGTAAATTTTGTATAAATTTAAAACATGCGTAAAGTAGTCGGCTTATATGCGTAAAGATGCGGTAAATGGTAGTTTTTATATGCGTCGAGATATTAAATGTTAGGTTTACATTATATGGCTCAGGATCGAATTCACACATTCCAACGTTCGTCCGTTAATTCAGATTTAGTTCACAATTTTGATTGTAACAATGTAGATCGGAGTTTTGATTATCGCAACGACACAATAACTAACTACTATTGTTATTTTCAGCAAAAAGGAACTATAGTCCAAGACGGCATCATTACCATGGCGACGTGCACTTCTATCCCGATGAGGTAAACCACAAGCAATGTCGTATCCCCCAACTCATCATCAAATGTAGTGGGGCACAGATTTAATATTTGACCATCACATTGAATGCATGGAACACTGTTAACATTGTTTAATATGAAAATCAAGATTTTTACGCGAACTCTCTCAAAAAAGTGTGTCAGTATGATCTGTTCAAAGTTTAGTAACAACAAACCGGAATTTTTCATTTGGATCTCGCAGTTTTTTACATTTAATGAGGAATTCTTGTTGACTTGTTATGCTACTTGGAAATTGAAAATATAAACGACATTTTAGTTTCCCGCATTTATTAGTTTTTTTTATATTTTTGCATAAAATAATTTGGAAATTGTTAAATTGTACTAACATGTATATATTACGGAACAGGACCAAGTAAATATATTGTAATTCCCTCATGCACATTGCATATAAATATGTTTTCAACACATCAGTTATAATCATGGTAGAATAACTTAACCTTGTATTTGTCCATAGAAAATGAAAATTCTCGAGAGGCCTTCTGGGTCCCACAGACACAGTGCAGACAACAGCGCCCCCTGTATAGATAAAAGCCTTGATAGAACCTGGGTCTTCGCAGTCGGGGATCAGAAGGGAGCATTGGAATTCATGTATGATATTTTATGTAATCACATCTCAAGCCAAAATATTTGTTTTATTTATTCATTTTATTTTTGTTTATTTTGACATACGCTTTTTACAGTGGCATACAGTTATTGAGTGCGTAAGTATTTTTAAGAATCTCCGTATATGTGATTGGTCTGATCATGTCACATGATCAGTTGATAATTGAGTTCATGAAACTTCCGGACGGAGTCTGGGTTATTGTAGTCGGGTATTAGAAGGGTGTATTAGAATCCATCCCGTTGTATTATTTTTGTCTTTCCATCGTATTTCAGATTTTTCACTTCTTTCAACTAAAAACATAACTAAACGTAACTCAATTTTGCATGTTTTGCCTTGGAAGGGTCTAGTGCACCTTCCATTATGATTTCCCCATGAATAAAATGAATCATATTTTGGTATAACATAAAGAATACAATGTCACATAATACTTTGGAATATTTAAGCGTTTGAACCCACATGGGCTGAGGTTGAGGTCATTAAGTCCAGCAAGGGTGTATTGACTTGACATTGGATATTGACTTAACATGTGGAGACCATCAGATTCAAATGGAGGCCATTGGTTTCTATTGATTTTCACAAAAATACCTACTGTAAAATACATTATGACCTGAATCGATTACAAATAAAATAATTTCACAATATGACACAAATGGAGTATCACATCAGATGTACAAATATAAAGTTTGCAATCGATTCAGGTCATACTTCATGGTGATAAACTGGATCCGGAAATAAACCAGCGTATTATATTAAGACTCATTAGCTTACAAGGCTTTTGAATTATCCTATTAACCCGTTAATGCTACATGTATGAGTATGTGTCGAAACGACAGAATTTATAAACATATCCTAAAAGTAAAATGTAATTTTACATTCTAGTGACACTGATGGCTTTTTGAAGGGCTTCCACATTGACCTTTTAAAGGCAAGTAAGTGAAACTTAATTCTGTTCTTAAAGCTAAGCCATTATATATATCTGCCTTGGAATGACCTCAATAGATATTTCCAATGTAGATTATTGCACCTATAGAAATTGCCAGTGTTACCACCTATATTTTGTATTCATACCAATTATTTGAGTAATTGAAAAAAAACTACAACATCTGTTTCATCAATTATTTGCGCATGCGCGGCTGTGCCAACATAACAATATTTTGCAAAATCTTAAAATCGATGAAATGAATAATAAAAGAAACTGTATCAATGTAATGTTATGTTTTATAAAGAGACGAAACAAATCTCAAGTGAAAATAGAAATTATCCTTTTAGGGTTGACTCTTTCTTCCATCAATATGAGGTTCGGCGATAAATCTTTTTGTATGAGTAACAATGGATGAAAATTTATAATAAATAAGATCTCGAAACTAAAACCATAAAATTGTAAAATCCCGATTGCGAAATCAGCTTACAACGTTATGTTAACATTATTGCATCTTGATATTTCCCAAGACGTTTTAGAATACTATTCTATGATCAGCATGCATAAAGTATTTATAACGTGTCTATTCCTGACCTAGTTACCATATTCATTGCTCCCACATCGTTTTAGAAATCATTATTTGAAAAATGTTGCCACCATATATCTGCATATTAAAAAATCTGATCTCTCCACGACAGTAATATCATGAGAAGTCATGGCCTTCTATCATTTTCTCTTTTTGCATCATATTTCCATTTGAAAACACACGAAAAGTAACGAGGATCAGGATGCGACAGTAACGATCTAATGATTCAGTTCTCTTTGTTTTAGAGCAGCGATTTACAGGAGTTATATATCGCCCCGTTAAGACGCGGACTAAATTGTCCAATTTCCATATTCGATATACTATTAAACTATTTAACCTTTCTTAAATGCTAATTGCATTTCACCGTTTTACTATGATAGGTATATTTATAGTAACTTTAAATGAACATTCCTAAATTTTTCAAAATAAATCTAAAATTTTGTATGTTCTTTTAAAGATTATATCATCAGCGTCATACGTCAACTCCACACCATTCTTTCTCAAACTATTTACATCCCTTTGCATACGTCTAGAAACAAAGAATCTTCGTTTGATCGCGTTTGAACCGTAATATATCAAATAATACTTGAAATCCTCAATTGATGTATTTGATTGGCATTGTCTGATTGTGTTCCATACAGTTTGCAAGACGGCCGGAAGGAAATGCACCTATGTCATGGATGCCTATTCGAACTGTTGGGAGAGTACAGGAGACAGGGAGTTCCCTGGGCAAGGTAGATGAACTTTATTTATTATAAGAGACCAACCCACATTAAAAGAGTGTGAGAACCGTTATATGTTACTACAAGCAAGTTACAAGCAAGTTACTACAAGCAAGTGCTACCATTGGTGCTTATACTTTGATTAAACACAAGAGAGTGCTATGCTACGATGTTCTTGCTTGCCTTTTAACTCACTCGTTCAGTTTGTCATGTTGGTACCAACCTTTACATTCTTCGATGGTTTGAACACCACTATAGCCAGAGCGGTCGACCTTTAAGCCCTACCTGCTGTACGCACTACTCTGCCCTTGTTGGTAAAGGGATGGTGAACAAAGCCTCGGTGAATGTATTAGCAATTGTCAAATAAGTCATTGGTTAATGTTGTCTCCCCTGTGCCCATTTGTCATTTCTCCTCAGCCAGAGCCAGCGGGAGGCTTCCTCTGCTGCAGATCCAACTGCTCTGTTCGCTCTCTTGAGCCATGAGGGTGGGAGTCCTACATTCTTGAACATTCGGTTGAGAGATGTTGATGGAAATCCTCTACAACCTACTTCAACGGGATAGTAATGAACTTTCCACCCTTTGGCCTCTATCTCCTCAACCAGATCTTGGTACTTTGCGCTTTTGAGTTGGTGTACTACCTCAATTCGATCTTCCCAAGGTACTGTCAGTTCTATCATGACAGCAATTCTTACAAGCTTACAAGCAATACTACAAGCAAGTGCTACCATTGGTGCTTATATATTTACTACAAGCAGATAGAGAGATTTCGCAACTCACTTATAGCTTGTTCATTAACCCCGTTTAACTTATGAAGCGTTTAATTACGTCATCATCTACTGCGCAGCTCTACAATTACATAAGTGTTATTTTCTTGTTAATTGTTGTCTATACATTAGAATATCACAATCATGGATGTATAGAGCGGCGCAATAAATGATGACGTAATCAAACACTTCATAAGTTATACGGGAAAGAGGAACATGCCATAAGTATGTTGCAAAATCTCTCTATTATGATCAAAACACGTTTAACCACGTTTGCTTCATAAACTGCATTTAATGTGAATTATTCGCATTTTTGTCTTGGGATTAAACACGCATTATCTTTAAAACGATTTACACGCAATATCTACAGGGTGGTCCAAAAAATGGGACACTCGTCTGTTTATGTAAATAAAGTTGACAATAAAAGTTAGTATTTGCTAGTTTTTGAAAACCCGTTTTGAAACTGAAATGACGTAATTTATAGTATGCACGCTGGTTGACAGACATTATAATAAATTTGAACGAACTTATGATATACCAAGTTAAAGATAAGTTAATTCCCCATCCACTGGTATATAATATGACATGTATTCACCAGGAAGATCAATATTATTTTTTTAAATACGAGTGTCCCATATTTTGGACCACCCTGTAGATATAACCAGCTAATTCTAAACCATTTTCTACAAAATAACGTCTGATTGCGTTAAATCCTTTATGCTGTCTAGAATATCCTAACGTGTGTACTTCCATTCTGAGTAAAAGTTTGTTGATTTTATCATCATTAAATAGGTGATAAAACAGATAAAAATAATTATTGATTTGTATAACGTGTAGACTAATTAATACAAGTTTGTATAAGATATGCCTAATATCCATCTAGGGCTTCTGGGTAAATGGTACGATGCCTGCATGGGATATTGGCCTTCGCCACGCCGTCTCAATAGCTTCAACTTTACAATCTCCTATTTGAAGAGTGACCCCGCACACGTCTATTATCTGATGGAAAACATGAATTTCGATCCAAAAGACTTTCGTGGCAGAAATATAGGTACTTTTTCAAAAACTCTTTTATGGTCGACACGAGAGGATAGTTGGATTTTGGGAAATACAAATTTATAACAAGATAATTCAAGTTATTGGCAAAATATTCTATGTGATAAAACGTTAACGTTCTTTCACTGTAAAGTTTGCAGTTGTATGATTGGTCAACCCTTGTCATATGCCAACATTTATTTAAAGGCATCCGGTGAATAACTGACTATAATTGGTCAACTCTCGGTCATATGGCATCATTAATTGAAGCAATTGTTGAATATTTAACTATCATTGGTCGACCTTTGGTCACATGACATCGTTTATTAAAGTAATCGGTGAATAACTAAATATGATTGGACAACCTATGGTACACATGACATCGTTTATTAAAGCAATCGATGAACAACTAGCTATGATTGGCTCACCTTTGGTGACATGACATCGTTTATTGAAGCAATTGTTGAATAACTAACTATGATTGGTCAACCTTTGGTTACATGACATAATTTATTGAGACAATCGGCGAATAACTAGTAATTGCTGGGGGATTTGTCAAATAAATCATCAAAGGGAATACAATCTGGTGACTATAACCTATTCATATTTTAGGATTTATGGATGGCTGGGCCACTAATGAGTTTTGCCTTGCAAAAGACGGCAACGTTGAAGCAAAAGGGATACAACCTGGTGACTATACTGAGTTTTACTTCAAGGACCACACGGACATGGTTGATGCCCTAATGGAAAAGAAGGTTTTTATGTGTCAACATTTTTTTTAGAATTTCTTGTCATTACAATGCATTTATCAATGTTTTATGCATGTAGGATAGATATTAATTTTGCCAATTCCAGCAGCTTTGACGTTTTAAAGTTTTACATTTATTACTTTTGAAACTCTGAAAATTTCTATTGATTTTTCATTTTTGAAGGGATTTAACTTATTCAAAGTCGAGTCTGCATACATTTTAAGCCAGTTTTTTTCTGAAAATCAATTTGGCCAAAAGAGCAAAATTTTATCGTTTCAGATTGACGCATTTCTCTCAACAGAGGCATCATATACGCCCAAAGAAGGCAGTGGGGTGGTGGCATTAGGCGAGGGATTCTCTTGTAGCTACAATAATCGAGGTAAGAATAGCAATTACGCATTTTAACAGAGGCATCATATACGCCCAAAGAAGGCAGTGGGGTGGTGGCATTAGGCGAGGGATTCTCTTGTAGCTACAATAATCGAGGTAAGAATAGCAATTACGCATTTCAACAGAGGCATCATATACACCTAAAGAAGGCAGTGGGGTGGTAACAGTAGGCGAGGGATTTTCTTGCAGTTACAATAATCGAGGTAAGAATAGCAATTTCGCATTTCTCTAAACAGAAGCATCATATACTCCTAAAGAAGGCAATGGGGTGGTAACAGTAGGCGATGGATTCTCTTGCAGTTATAATAATCAAGGTAAGAATAGCAATTACGCATTTCTCTCAACAGAGTCATCATATACAACCAAAGAAGGCAATGGGGTGGTAACAGTAGGCGAGGGATTCTCTTGCAGTTATAATAATCGAGGTAAGAATAGCAATTACGCATTTCTCTCAACAGATGCAACATATACACCCAAAGAAGGCAGTTGGTGGTAACAGTAGGCGATGGATTCTCTTGCAGTTATAATAATCGAGGTAAGAATAGCAATTACGCATTTCTCTCAACAGAGGCATCATATACACCCAAAGAAGGCAGTGGGTAGTAACAGTAGGCGAGGGATTCTCTTGCAGTTATAATAATCGAGGTAAGAATAGCAATTACGCATTTCTCTCAACAGATGCAACATATACACCCAAAGAAGGCAGTTGGTGGTAACAGTAAGCGAGGGATTCTCTTGCAGTTATAATAATCGAGGTAAGAATAGCAATTACGCATTTCTCTCAACAGAGGCAACATATACACCCAAAGAAGGCAGTTGGTGGTAACAGTAGGCGAGGGATTCTCTTGCAGTTATAATAATCGAGGTAAGAATAGCAATTACGCATTTCTCTAAACAGAGGCATCATATACTCCTAAAGAAGGCAATGGGGTGGTAACAGTAGGCGAGGGTTTCTTTTGCAGTTATAATAATCGAGGTATGAATAGCAACTACGCACTTCTCTCAACAGAGGCATCATATACACCCAAAGAAGGCAGTGGGGTAGTAACAGTAGGCGATGGATTCTTTTCCAGTTACAATATAAATTGAGGTAAGAATAGCAATTACGCATTTCAACAGAGGCATCATATACTCCTAAAGAAGGCAGTGGGTGGTGACATTAGGCGAGGGATTCTCTTGCATCTACAATAATCGAGGTACGAATAGCAATTACGCATTTCTCTCAACAGAGGCATCATATACACCCAAAGAAGGCAGTGGGTAGTAACAGTAGGCCAGGGATTCTCTTGCAGTTATAATAATCGAGGTAAGAATAGCAATTACGCATTTCTCTTAACAGAGGCATCATATACACCCAAAGAATGCAGTGGGTAGTAACAGTAGGCGAGGGATTCTCTTGCAGTTATAATAATCGAGGTAAGAATAGCAATTACGCATTTCTCTCAACAGAGGCATCATATACTCCTAAAGAAGGCAGTGGGGTGGTTACAGTAGGCGAGGGATTCTCTTGCAGTTACAACAATCGAAGTAAGAATAGCAATTGCGCATTTCTCTCAACAGAGGCATCATATACACCCAAAGAAGGCAATGGGGTGGTAACAGTAGGCGATGGATTCTTTTCCAGTTACAATAATTGAGGTAAGAATAGCAATTACGCTTTTCACTCAGCAGAGGCATCATATACACCAAAAGAAGGCAGTGGGTGGTCACAGTAGGCCAGGGATTCTCTTGCAGTTATAATAATCGAGGTATGAATAGCAATTACGCATTTCAACAGAGGCAACATATACACCCAAAGAAGGCAGTTGGTGGTAACAGTAGGCGAGGGATTCTCTTGCAGTTATAATAATCGAGGTAAGAATAGCAATTACGCATTTCTCTAAACAGAGGCATCATATACTCCTAAAGAAGGCAGTTGGTGGTAACAGTAGGCGAGGGATTCTCTTGCAGTTATAATAATCGAGGTAAGAATAGCAATTACGCATTTCTCTAAACAGAGGCATCATATACTCCTAAAGAAGGCAATGGGGTGGTAACAGTAGGCGAGGGATTCTCTTGCAGCTACAATAATTGAGGTAAGAATAGCAATTACGCTTTTCACTCAGCAGAGGCATCATATACACCCAAAGAAGGCAATGGGGTGGTAACAGTAGGCGATGGATTCTTTTCCAGTTACAATAATTGAGGTAAGAATAGCAATTACGCTTTTCACTCAGCAGAGGCATCATATACACCCAAAGAAGGCAGTGGGTGGTAACAGTAGGCGAGGGATTCTCTTGTAGCTACAATAATCGAGGTATGAATAGCAATTACGCTTTTCACTCAGCAGAGGCATCATATACACCCAAAGAAGGCAGTGGGTGGTAACAGTAGGCGAGGGATTCTCTTGCAGTTACAATAATCGAGGTAAAAATAGCAATTACGCATTTCTCTAACAGAGGCATCATATACACCCAAAGAAGGCAGTGGGTGGTGACATTAGGCGAGGGATTCTCTTGCAGTTACAATAATCGAGGTAAGAATAGCAATTACGCATTTCTCTCAACAGAGGCATCATATACACCCAAAGAAGGCAATGGGTGGTGACAGTAGGCGAGGGATTCTCTTGCAGTTACAATAATCGAGGTATGAATAGCAATTACGCATTTCAACAGAGGCAACATATACACCCAAAGAAGGCAGTGAGGTGGTGACAGTAGGCGATGGATTCTCTTGCAGTTATAATAATCGAGGTAAGAATAGCAATTACGCATTTCAACAGAGGCATCATATACAACCAAAGAAGGCAGTGAGGTGGTGACAGTAGGCGATGGATTCTCTTGCAGTTACAATAATCGAGGTAAGTATAGCAATTACGCATTTCTCTCAACAGAGGCATCATATACACCCAAAGAAGGCAGTGGGGTGGTGACAGTAAGCGAGGGATTCTCTTGCAGTTACAATAATCGAAGTAAGAATAGCAATAACGCATTTCAACAGAGGCATCATATACGCCCAAAGAAGGCAGTGGGTGGTGACAGTAGGCGATCTATTCTCTTGCAGTTACAATAACCGAGGTAAGAATAGCAATTACGCATTCCTCTCAACAGAGGCATCATATACACCCAAAGAAGGCAGTGGGGTGGTGACAGTAGGCGATCTATTCTCTTGCAGTTACAATAACCGAGGTAAGAATAGCAATTACGCATTACTCCCAACAGAGGCATCATATACACCCAAAGAAGGCAGTGGGGTGGTGACAGTAGGCGAGGGATTCTCTTCCAGTTACAATAATCGATGTAAGAATAGCAATTACGCATTTCTCTCAACAGAGGCATCATATACGGCCAAAGAAGGCAGTGGGGTGGTGACAGTAAGCGAGGGATTCTCTTGCATCTACAATAATCGAGGTAAGAATAGCAATTACGCATTTATCTCAACAGAGACATCATATACACCCAAAGAAGGCAGTGGGGTGGTGACATTAGGCGAGGGATTATCTTGTAGCTACAATAATCGAGGTAAGAATAGCAATCACGCTTTTCTCTCAACAGAGGCATCATATACACCCAAAGAAGGCAGTGGGGTGGTGACAGTAGGCGAGGGATTCTCTTGCAGCTACAATAATCGAGGTAAGAATAGCAATAACGCATTTCAACAGAGGCATCATATACACCCAAAGAAGGCAGTGGGTGGTGACAGTAGGCGATGGATTCTCTAGCAGCTACAATAATCGAGATAAGAATAGCAATTACGCATTTCAACAGAGGCATCATATACACCCAAAGAAGGCAGTGGGGTGGTAACAGTAGGCGAGGGATTCTCTTGCAGCTACAATAATCGAGGTAAGAATAGCAATAACGCATATCTCTCAACAGAGACATCATATACATCCAAAGAAGGCAGTGGGGTGGTGACAGTAGGCGAGGGATTCTCTTGCAGCTACAATAATCGAGGTAAGAATAGCAATAACGCATTTCAACAGAGGCATCATATACACCAAAAGAAGGCAGTGGGTGGTAACAGTAGGCGAGGGATTCTCTTGCAGTTGCAATTATCGAGGTAAGAATAGCAATAACGCATATCTCTCAACAGATGCATCATATTCACCCAAAGAAGGCAATAGGGTGGTGACATTAGGCGAGGGATTCTCTTGCAGCTACAATAATCGAGGTAAGAATAGCAATCACGCATTTCAACAGAGGCATCATATACACCCAAAGAAGGCAGTGGGGTGGTGACAGTAGGCGATGGATTCTCTTGGAGATAGAATAATCGAGGTAAGAATAGGAATTACGCATTTCTCTAAACAGAGGCATCATATACACCCAAAGAAGGCAGTGGGGTGGTGACAGTGGACGAAGGATTCTCTTGCAGTTACAGTAATCGGGGTAAGAATAGCAATTATGCATTTCTCTCAACAGAGGCATCATATACACCCAAAGAAGGCAGTGGGTGGTGACAGTGGACGAAGGATTCTCTTGCAGTTACAGTAATCGAGGTATGAATAGCAATTACGCATTTATTTCAACATAGGCATCATATACACCAAAAGAAGGCAGTGGGTGGTAACAGTAGGCGAGGGATTCTCTCTCAGGTACAATAATCGAGGTATGAATAGCAATTACGCATTTATTTCAACATAGGCATCATATACACCAAAAGAAGGCAGTGGGTGGTAACAGTAGGCGAGGGATTCTCTTGCAGTTACAATAACCGAGGTAAGAATAGCAATTACGCATTTCTCTCAACAGAGGCATCATATACACCCGAAGAAGGCAATGGGGTGGTAACAGTAGGCGAGGGATTCTCTTGCAGCTACAATAACCGAGGTAAGAATAGCAATTACGCATTACTCCCAACAGAGGCATCATATACACCCAAAGAAGGCAGTGGGGTGGTGACAGTAGGCGAGGGATTCTCTTCCAGTTACAATAATCGATGTAAGAATAGCAATTACGCATTTCTCTCAACAGAGGCATCATATACACCCAAAGAAGGCAGTGGGTGGTAACAGTAGGCGAGGGATTCTCTCTCAGGTACAATAATCGAGGTATGAATAGCAATTACGCATTTATTTCAACATAGGCATCATATACACCAAAAGAAGGCAGTGGGTGGTAACAGTAGGCGAGGGATTCTCTAGCAGCTACAATAATCGAGATAAGAATAGCAATTACGCATTTCAACAGAGGCATCATATACACCCAAAGAAGGCAGTGGGGTGGTAACAGTAGGCGAGGGATTCTCTTGCAGCTACAATAATCGAGGTAAGAATAGCAATAACGCATATCTCTCAACAGAGACATCATATACATCCAAAGAAGGCAGTGGGGTGGTGACAGTAGGCGAGGGATTCTCTTGCAGCTACAATAATCGAGGTAAGAATAGCAATAACGCATTTCAACAGAGGCATCATATACACCAAGAGAAGGCAGTGGGTGGAAACAGTAGGCGAGGGATTCTCTTGCAGTTGCAATTATCGAGGTAAGAATAGCAATAACGCATATCTCTCAACAGATGCATCATATTCACCCAAAGAAGGCAATAGGGTGGTGACATTAGGCGAGGGATTCTCTTGCAGCTACAATAATCGAGGTAAGAATAGCAATCACGCATTTCAACAGAGGCATCATATACACCCAAAGAAGGCAGTGGGGTGGTGACAGTAGGCGATGGATTCTCTTGGAGTTAGAATAATCGAGGTAAGAATAGGAATTACGCATTTCTCTAAACAGAGGCATCATATACACCCAAAGAAGGCAGTGGGGTGGTGACAGTGGACGAAGGATTCTCTTGCAGTTACAGTAATCGAGGTAAGAATAGCAATTATGCATTTCTCTCAACAGAGGCATCATATACACCCAAAGAAGGCAGTGGGTGGTGACAGTGGACGAAGGATTCTCTTGCAGTTACAGTAATCGAGGTATGAATAGCAATTACGCATTTATTTCAACATAGGCATCATATACACCAAAAGAAGGCAGTGGGCGGTAACAGTAGGCGAGGGATTCTCTCTCAGGTACAATAATCGAGGTATGAATAGCAATTACGCATTTATTTCAACATAGGCATCATATACACCAAAAGAAGGCAGTGGGTGGTAACAGTAGGCGAGGGATTCTCTTGCAGTTACAATAACCGAGGTAAGAATAGCAATTACGCATTTCTCTCAACAGAGGCATCATATACACCCGAAGAAGGCAATGGGGTGGTGACAGTAGGCGAGGGATTCTCTTGCAGTTACAATAACCGAGGTAAGAATAGCAATTACGCATTTCTCTCAACAAAATCATCATATACACCCAAAGAAGGCAGTGGGTGGTGACAGTAGGCGATGGATTCTCTAGCAGCTACAATAATCGAGATAAGAATAGCAATTACGCATTTCAACAGAGGCATCATATACACCCAAAGAAGGCAGTGGGGTGGTAACAGTAGGCGAGGGATTCTCTTGCAGCTACAATAATCGAGGTAAGAATAGCAACTACAAAACATATTTTAAAAACTGTTACTAGTCTTATTTGTAACACGTTCATTTGTTCTAGCTGGGATATATTTCTGCATTCTTTAACTTGAATGAATTCACTAGACTATTGTCTCTACAATTTTGGCGACTCAGATATCCAACCCGCCTCATGTCTTGTAATGTCTATGCGTTTGCATCTTACATATATCTAAACATAAAATACTGTCGAAGTTGCCTGTTGTCCTGAGGGTGTTCTCAGAAATGCCGATTCAGAGTAAAAAATACATGGTTAATGATGCATTTTTCATAGTAAGTCAACATTAAATCTATTAAGTACCATTAGTTTCTCCTGATATGGAATAGTGCATTGAGACTGATTCAGGATTCATTACCAAAGTGGTTCCTAATAGAACCCCTGAAGGGTGAATATTGTATTGCCAGATTTGACGTCAATGGGCAAATCATTCCATGAAAACAATCTGTAAAAATACGTTTTCCGAGGGAAATACTTAATATCTTGATATATTGGCAATCCATTGAACATGAGGGCATAGAGCTGTCAAATACATTTTATTTTCGGTTAAGAATGAACAAAGGATGGACATGACTCCTGACTCTTTCAAGACACCACCAAGACTCATTCTTAACTGGGATAAGGTTAATACATTCGAGCCATCAAAGTTTGCTGGGTGTAATAATGAGAAATTGCACTCGCACCTGAGTATTTTAAAGGTAACTGAGAGTCATTAACACGAGTTTCCCGAAGTTAATAAATCTTAAATTAAGGCATTCTATCTCTATGATGACGGCTTTGCGAACGGATGTTGACCCTTTGAACTGCCCATGGACTTCGAGGCAGGATTTTATCTATCCCACATCATTTGAGACTGAATACTCTTATATATATCTTTTATAAGTACTAGTATCTACAACTATTTTTGATGTTATGAGTATTTGCTATCAATTTTTCAATTTTTCTTCAACATGTATTGTAATGACTTCAGTATGAATGAAATGTCCCTTGGTGTTCCGGTCCTGGATTGTGATATTGGTTCTCGATTGGAGGGGGAGGGGGATGTTAGACATTGTTTCTTTTCACGTTAGATCATGGTTTTGGGATATAGGTTAAAGGGTCTACTTTTCTTATGACAGATTTACACTAAGTTACAGTTTGCTTTTGTTGTTGGGTTTCTTTAAAGTTTTTAGTCACCCTTCCCTTTTGGCATTTGTGCTTATATATTCTGCATTCCTTAATGAATGTGTTGAAACGATTTGGATGGAGATCATGATTAAACTTCACGATGATAAAAGTTTGATTGTGATTCTGTCATTAAGGAGCAAAATATTATTGAGTATTACAAAAAATTGCTGTTAGCTGTATGTATGTATTTTCACCGGAGTCACTATGATAGATGAAGTAATATTAGATATCACCATAGATATTTAATCGCTACCCTTATTTCAAGACGGTTAAAGTAGCTTTGATTATGCTTCTTTTTATCAACGTTGTGGCTATGGCTCTATGAGACGATTAGTCTGGAAATGTCATTATAAAAATCATTACTGAAATCGCTTGAAATGTCAGTGCCACCAAATTCTAATTTAGATGCATTGTAATTATTACACTCCTCTTTGGGGGGGGGGGGAGGGTGTACAAAGTTGAACCTTTATGGGTAAATCTTTACCTAGAGGTAGTTTCATTTATAAATTGTTGGATATTCTTTCCTCTAGTAAAAATTCATTAATGAATCATGGGTAATGTCCTCATACTATTTCTTACTCCTTCCAGGAACTGCCTTTATGACGCATTATAACAACCCCGTCCTTGATTGGTTAAACGCAGCCATGCAGGAGATTTACGATGATGGGACATATCGACGAATATGCAAAAAGGCGCAGTTGGATTACGGTTAGTGTTGAATTAACTCATGCAGGGGAATATAAACTGATTCTAATGGAAATTATGAGTTAGAGCCGGAAACAATGTTTTTGATCAGTTAATCCACTCGCAATTTTAGGAGTCTAGTTACCCTTAAATAAAAGTTCATATCGTATTAAAGAAATGTATTAACAACTAGTGCCGAGGGTTGAAATCGAAATAAGAGTGATATTGGAATCAAACACAACATAATTTTGAGTATTTTATCAATTCTTCAACATGTATTGTAATGACTTCAGTATGAATAAAATGTCCCTTGATATTGATTCTTGAATGGTGGGGGAAAGGGGGTATTAGACATTGTTTCCTTTCACGTTAGATCATGGTTTTGGGCTATATGGGGTTTGTTTTTCTTGACTGGTATGCACTTAGAGTTTGCTTTTTCTTGCTAAGTTCCATTACAACTTTTGGTCCTTTCCCTTTGGCACTAGTGCTTATATATCCAATAGAAGTTTCAGAATTTTAGAAACGTTGAAATCGGTGCTTGACTTTTCGTGAGTTATCCAATAACATTTGCAATCAAATGTTTCCTGATCCTAATACGCAGGTTTATTTCACATGTTTCAGCTAAACACGGGAAGCTGCTGTGCCTTGATTGATGTGACGTGATTCCTAAAACATTCTGCCCCGAAGAGAACAATCGACAAATTTCCACAAGATGATGGATATAATAAAGATTGCTGTAATGGAGTACTCCATATGATTAACTCTTGTGGCGTGATTTCTCAATGAAACGTGTACATATATTCTTAACGAATAATAGACTGCATTTGTGATTTCCATAAACAATTTAATATTATCATAGTTTATTTCAAAAATAATGTTATAACATCATATTATAGCACTAATGTTACTAGTCCTAAGACAAAACTAATAACGCTAATTAAAAGTCCTTTCAAAATTACCTCAAACGTCCCTGTTAATCTTATTCAACTATTCTACTACTCGTTGCGTGTTTATGGAGGCAGTTTGTATTCACGAATGCAACGTTCGGCTGTCGGCTACCGGATTGACCTACTATTCTATAGTGGCAGGTTCTATGCATATTTAAATGCCGAGTTACCCATAGAATATTAGGTAAATACGGTAGCTAACAGCCGAAAGTTGCATTCGCAAATACAAGCTAAGGTACCATAGTTGTATTTTGTATGTACAAGCATGTCATGTAGATGGCTTATGATTGCTGAACGACTTTAAACGTTTTGTCATTTCAATCATGCGATTTAAATGTTGAACCTTATCAGGTTGTTTCACAATAGGGCTTCTTTGGTGGGTATGTGGATCACTACCCGATTCCGCCATTTTGGAAAGTTTAATCATTTGCCTTAAGTGACTAGTTTTGTCCGATTCGTGTTTTGTTAGCGTTTGAGTGTTTAACCCTTTAGCATCAAACGTTTGGTCTTTGACATGACTAATGCCATCTATTAATTTCGCCTTTGTAATAGGAATCTCAGCGGCTTTCTTTGCAAGCGCCATCATTTGTTTTAAGTGGTTAAATTTATGATTATCAATCACCTGGTGAACATCAGCTCTCCTGATCAAAGTACTCTTCGTGGATCCTGGAGCTGAGGATTCAAGAACAGAAGATTTTGAAGATTCCGAAACTAACGAATCAGGGATCGGAGAATCCCTAACTGACGAATCGGGGACAGATGACCCTGGAACTGAGACTTTATTCTGGATTTGATATTCGTTGGTATTTTTATTTTCATCATATTTTGATTGCATTGATTCGGAGAGTTCAATCATATGTTTTAACTTTTCTGCACGGTGGTCTATTTGTTTATGAGTGTTCTCGAATAACTCTGGTTGAGTGCCTGAGTTCGACGTATTCAGCAATCGTATATTACTATATGAAGGTGTTGTATTCCCATGTTTCATTTCCTTGATACCATGCTGGAAGTCTTTGTTTACACCACTTGGTCTATTTCTAGTTCTATTTCCCTGTCTATCGTCATCGTCGTAATAATACGACTCCTTTCTGGCAATTAATTTACCACGTGGTCCACATTTACATTTGGGGATTTCTTCTTTGGGCCCAGGATTTTCACATTGCCACGTAGCCAGATTGAACATCGCTCCAAACATGCACCGTTCTGTGGGAAGCTGAAAACCATCTTCACATCTGTAGAAGGCGTGGGGGTCTCCCACAATACACCAAATTCCATTACGCATATATGGACAAGCAATGTCACCTAAAACAAATACAAAAGCTACAAATTGATATTAATGCAAAAATGTAAGAGGAAAATGACAGTCAGACGTAGAAACAGTATCTTCATAATTCAAGTTATATTCAGGTAAATGAATATGGTAGACAATGTTTCTATAAATTAAAAATATGTCTGCGATACATTAGTATTTTTGCATAGAATAAATCATTCGAAACCCTTAGGGGACAATACAATCTTTAAACTTTCAACCTTTACAATGATTTCCTTTCCACGATGAAGATACCAATTGTTGTGTGTTATTTTTCATGATCAAAATTGAAGAATCACAAATATCTTACATTCCATCGGAGTCAAACTTGGTCCAGGACGTCCAAAATCTTTTGAAACCGGATCACGGGACTTTACGCCTACACTCGACAATCTTGAAATACCCTGAGGCGTGTCAAATGGGTAGTATTGTGAGAAATGATCTGTAAATTATAAAAATAAAATCGTGTTCACTACTCTAAACACTACATCTACATCCTAACGATTTTAAAAAGTGAAATAAAAGCTATAAAGCATTTTTGCTTAATTATATTAGATACTTGAAGAGGCGAACTTTTGTGCCAAACCCATTGTGTATATTATGAAAAATTGAACGCACATAGTTAACAAAGAACAGCTGTTAATTTTGAAATTTGAATATACATTAAGAGATTTCTGTAGGATGCGAAAGTATTGGTAGCATTATACCTCCAGCGTGTGTCATATCGTCCAACGAACCCCTGAGGCCAGGGTGATCATCCAGTAAATACTCGACCATGTTGGAATTGTAGGCTCTGTTTAAATTGTCATTAAGGGCAGTTACTGGAAAACCCTTGATTAAAATGAGATAGGAACATGATTAGTAATTACAAGTAAGAAATTATAATCATTAATATATTATTCCGTACAGTTTAAATCACCAGATTAAAAATCAATATTTAACGATTAAATAACAGTTCTCAAATGCTTACCTCGTTTTTAATCACATTGAAGTCAGCTTCACCTTTTAGGTTGGACTTCAAAAGTGTATCTTGGTATCCCAGTTCAAATGGAGACCGGAAGACATCCGTCGCTGAATCCACAGATAAATACTGATCAATTGCCTCATTTTTACTGACACCTGGATCTTCATCTGTTAGAGGTATAATGAAAGCCGAAGGGTCTACAAATATTTCTGAAGCACTTGGTATAGCATATTCCTTCACATATTTCCCTGGAGATTGTGTCGTCTTCAAAAGAGGACTAGTTTCTTGTTTCAGAGCAGATATTGTGGTTGTTTGGCCAGTTTTGATTGATTGTTCAGTAGTGATTAATTGTCCAGTTGTAGTTGTTTGTTCAGTTGTTGTTGATTGGTCAATTGTGGTTGTTTGGTCAGTTTTGATTGATTGTTCAGTAGTGATTAATTGTCCAGTTGTAGTTGTTTGTTCAGTTGTTGTTGATTGGTCAATTGTGGTTGATTGTTCAGTTGTGGTTGATTGGTCAATTGTGGTTGATTGTTCAGTTGTGGCTGATTGCTCAGTTGTGGTTGATTGGTCAATTGTGGTTGATTGTTCAGTTGTGGTTGATTGCTCAGTTGTAGTTGATTGCTCAGTTGTGGATGTTTTTTCAGTTGTTGATGCTTGTTCAGTTGTGGTTATTTGTTCAGTTGTAGCTGCTTTTGGACGTGCAGTTCTGGTTGTTACAGCTGATTCAATGGTTGTTATCTTTCTATCGACTGGTAACCCAGCATTAGTGGTGTTTTCTGTCATGACTTTGATAGTTGTGTCTCTTGGTGTTTTATTTGTGTACAGTTTTTGCGCATTAATGTTATTAACTGAGATGGCTTGCGTGTTTCGGTCAGTTACAGCTAGGTTTGGATTGAAACACAAGGTTGGCCCACACTTGAACCAGCCAGGAGGTAGTGCAGATATGCCTGATGTTGCTGATGTCGTTAGAAACTCTGATTGTTTCGGGTGCACGTTTGGATTAGCAGTAATGGCCGTCGTAGATTCCGTCGTAGTATCCCTACGCTGAATCGCATGTTCAGTGGTTGAGACTTTTACAACATTGGTACTATGTTGGTAGACTTTCGATTCTGTGATATCTGCTTCGACCGTTTCCTGGTTTAAGCCTCTTATGCGTTGACCATTTGCATTTTTCACAGCATACAGAATCTCCCGCTGTGCAAACTGTTGTCTTTTTAATGAAGCTATTGGATCAACTACAGTAGTTGGATTTTTAGTGGTCTGCCCAGTGTTCTCTCTCAATGGTTCCTCAAAGGATGTTGTTGTGTACTCCTTGAGAAGATTCTCTATTCTGAGTTGGAGTTTCTCTATGTACTGTTGTCTTACAGCTCGTGGAGATTGATCCGTGTTTTCAACCTCTTCTAAACGATGTGTAACTAATTCTCTTTGTAGTTCGATGTATTTATCATGCATATCAATTGGAATTGATTTTAAGGTCGCTTCACGTTCCACCATCATATCCTTGATAATTTTCTTCTTGTTTTCCTCCTTAATAGCATTTTCTTGCATCGCATTTATACTATCTTGCTTTTTCTGTTCGCTTAGCTGTCTTACTTTGAGATAATATGGATGGAGCTTATCCGGTGCTATTTCTTTAGTCGCAACAGTATCCGGATCAACAATCCCATGTTCCTCAAAGTACAACTTTTTGGCCTTTTCAAGATAGTATTCATGCGCTATTTCGGGAGTTCTAAATTTATCTGCTGAAACAATGTTTGTATCTTGCGACTGAGTGGGAGTAGTGGTCTGGTCATCACCAAATAGTGGCCTAAGGATATCGAAGACGTTATCACGGAAGTCATGCCTCTCTTCGATTCTCTCCTTACGTTTAAGGGGTCTTTCCTCTTCAAGTTTTGCTATTCGTTTTCTGACTAGAGGATCGACAACACTGTCTGCAATCTTCACTTGAGATACAGGTTTTGCCACCTGTAATTAAATTATTTTTTAAGTCAATGTCGCACTTGTATTTGCTTAAATTGACCACTAGTTGCCAAATTATGAAATTTTTGGGCAAATATAACAAACGATTGTAGATCTATAGTGTATTATATAGGTGCAGTGTTTAGATTTCCATCAAGTGAGTGTATTTTCTGTGAATATATTGAAGTAAGACTAAATGCAATCATTACGACCTGGAGACCCCTGGTCACATCTCAATAAAAGTATATTTCTGTAAACTGCAACTGCTTCATTGATTTTATATCTGACAACTCCCATGGCAACTGTTCTAATAACAACAAAGGGTGAAATGATCCTGTGTTTAGAGCGCTTTAAGATGACTCCCAATCGTTACCTTTAAACTGGAGTCAGTAGCAGGTGTACCATCAGTTTCATTACATCGACAGCCAGGCGCCTCGAAGTCGCAAATTCCTTTATCGGAGTTAAACACAAGAAAGTATGGACAATATTCGGTTGGCAGTTTAACGCCTGCTAAGCATTGGTAGTAGGCATGTGGAGAGAATGGCTCGCAGAATCTACCATCGTAAGGGCATGGGTTTTGACCTACATGTAAAATATGACATAGTTGTACGAGTAGGCAAGTATTGAGAATAACTCGCAAAATCTACCATCGTAAGGGCATGGGTTTTGACCTACATGTAAAATACGACATAGTTGTACTAGTAGGCAAGTATTGAGAATAACTCGCAAAATCTACCATCGTAAGGGCATGGGTTTTGACCTACATGTAAAATACGACATAGTTGTACTAGTAGGCAAGTATTGCGAATAACTCGCAAAATCTACCATCGTAAGGGCATGGGTTTTGACCTACATGTAAAATATGACATAGTTGTACTAGTAGGCAAGTATTGCGAATAACTCGCAGTATCTACCATTGTAAGTGCACGGGTTTTGACCTACATAATAATATATGACCTAGTTTTTATGGCATTATATAAAATGTAATGCTAATTTTGTAATATTTGATCTGAACAAAATTGTTATCAATAATATACTAGGAGAGTCCAGGGCAGAACAAAAATGGTTCGTTCTGCCCATTAAATTGCCATTTCATTGTGACATGCATGTTGTAGCATACAGCAAATTCAGGCGGAAATTAAAACTAAAACTAAAAACAAATAACTATGCCTAGGTCCAATTCCATGACTCTATTTGACTCACATAGATTAAAGGTGACCGGCTGCTCGTAGTGATAGTCTGGACACGAGCAGTTTGTCGTCACGAAGTCGGGGTCATCACACAGTTTATACAAAGGGTTGAATATTTGTCCATCCGGGCATCGTTCATTCTCGTATTTTTGGCCGTATATACACCAGTAGTAAGCGCTGGAATCGTCCACAGCGCAAAATATACCGTCCTGTGGGCACGCATTCTCACCTAAAATACGGGGAAGAGAGTATATTAATCTTCAAATCTTTGAATGACAATAAAGACTGGAGCATTTTAAATAATGAAAACAATATTTTCAAAATCAAACCAATTCAATCAAATATCGTTAATTGACAAAGTTCAAAGCGCCGTGAGGTGGCAGGTAATTATATCCATATATGCAATGTTTAATAATTTCTGATTAAAATTCACAAATTTACTGTTTTGTTTTTCTATATATTTAACCTTGGTTTTATATTTACTAATGATAAGATACTAATGACTAACAACATATTCAACATACTATTTATTTATATATTTATTTATCACACAACGGAAAATCCGACATGCCTATGGTAGGATATTTATACATTGATGAAGGTGTAGTGTCTATTCTCTAACATTAACAAAGAATTACACATTAATTGAATAAACTAAGCTGCCACAATTATGAAGTATAAACAATAAAACCTATAATCTAAAATAGTATGATTAAAATAAGATAAAATGATACATGATGGACTAGTGGAATCAGAAGTTATAATGGTGTAAATTGAATTCTGAAAATTTGTGAAATTCTCAGTCTATTAAACCGTATCTCTTGTTAACAAAAAACCATTCATGTTTTACATGATTCGACACCATGTCGTATGACGATTACTAGCCTACTCACAATTTCCCAGTAACACACTCCCTGAATTAGGAAAAGTATGTTTAAACGTAGCTTGAGTTGTCGTAAAAGATGTCGTAAAATCAGTCGTCTGCTGAGTCGTCTGCTCCGAGGGTCCAGGGGTCGGGAATGGCGTTGGAAAAGGTGTCTGCGGAAGTGCCGGTGGTATCCCAACCAGAAACATCATTGTTGCCAAAACAAACCTAAATAGAAACAACAGATAGACAAACCAAATATCGACGTTTGTAAATAATAAATCAAGACTAGTTATTGTGTATCAGCAAATTTTCAGTTCACTCACTTTTTTAGAGATACAGAATTAAAGAAATTTGATAAATACAATACTTTCAATGTCTCCTTACATTGTTAATCAGCTTTCTTTAAGTTTCCACCACAAAGAATAAATTCCTTTTAATCCACACATATTCTTTGTTGCGTTCAAATCAGCTGTTCATTTTGATATATATTACAGTCCATACCAATACATATTGTATTGAGCGCTGTATAAATCTAATTTCAAAATCAAATATCACAATTTACATTAACGAAATTGTTGCAAGCGAAACGCCTCAAGCTTAAAAGGCCTAAATTATGTACCCAATTAAATTTATTATAAATTAATGTGCAAACATAAACAAGTGCGTAGTGTATGGGTAATCAAGGTAGATATGTTTAGATATGGATCAAACATACAATACCCTCCGTGACCTTGACAATCATGTCGGCGGGTCGATATCGCGGACCATTGAATGAATATTCGAAATTTTTGGTTGAGTTTTCATGTTCGAATCGTAAGACAGACGGATAATAATATGCTCCCTTCGGTTGTTCGGGGTACAGAAAACGTTTGTGCCTAGCCCTGTGGGATGTATTCGACGATACAATCCTTGCTCTTTGGTCTGAGAAAGAATCATGGTACATGACTCAGGAGCAATGGTTTTGGATGTTTCTTCATGTAGTAAAAGCTTAAAATACCCTAAAGAAAATTTTGACAGATTTTGGTAAACTTTTTACCATTTTTAGCTCTTTTTCCCCTTTTAATCTCGTGAAAAATTTAAACATCGGTGGAATTGTTTTTCGATTCTTTCATTTTTCACTGAATGGATTTATTTGTTTCGAATATACCTGTGTTAATGTTTTATTTAGTACTAAGCCTTCAAACTGCGCAGGCTTGCACAATTATAGTAACGCATCGAATTCCTTAAAGCTACGTTCACACAAACGCCGCTTTAATGGCGCTTTAATGCGGCGTGCGAAGCGGCTTTGTACGTCGCATTAAAGCGCCATCAAAGCGCCGTTGGTGTGAAAGTAGCTTAAGCGTTCATTTAACATATTATGGCGTATTTTGGGTTAGAAACGTTTGAAAAATGAAATTCACTTGATGGCATTCATTTCGGGATATGCTAGTGTCGTATGTATCTTCTATGAAATACTTCGTATTGGCATTTTAACTTCTATGTATCAAAACATGATTTTGAAAACAAAAAATGTGAACTTTTCAAGATACTTCAGTTTTAGGTTCGTTCTCGACACCTCTGACTTGTATTACTTTGTGATTCTAAATGACGCAAAGTGCAAATTCTTTCTCGCGTGATTTCTTCATATGCCATTGGACATTAAAAACAAACTATGATTATCGTATAATAACAGCTCCGATCTTAATCCCGAAACACCCACGTACCTAATCAATCAATTTATCAATACTACAACAAAGCAATCCGTACAAACAAACAAACAGGACCGAACAAGCAAACAAATGGTAGCGTGGTAAGCTGAACGGCCATGGCAACGTAGTGAATCGAATTTGAGCTGAAACGAAAGTAAGTGTGAAAGAAATAGATTGCTTGACTATATGTAAGGTGCTGCCATCTTTAAATAAAGATAAAAATTGAAAACACTAATTGAACAAGAATGATTTGGAACGGAATGAAGAAATGAAATTAGGAAGATATCAGAAAGTAATCATACTGTCATAGGGCCATTTTACTGTTATTCCATCTAAACCATCAATCAATGGCCACAAACAATCAACCCGACGAATCAAGTAAAGTTTTTAAGTTTAATTGTAAATATATAATTAAGATCTGGTTTTACATCAGTTTCGTCAAATATAAATCAAAGCAAATTACATGGCTCTAAAAGCAAAATCTGACTTTAGTCGAACCTGACAAATTACAAACAAATTACAAAGGTCTTAACTAAGGTGGCGACTATATTTCAGCCCTCAAGATCAAAACAACATCGAGCTTCAAGTAAAGCGATTGTAAAAAGGTGGCGCTGTGTAAAATCTCACCTGCGCGCTGAGCATATCGAAATCAGACCAGATTTACCAGCCAAAAATTACATAATTCTCTTAAAGAAAATCAATCACAATAGATTAAATGTTCAAAATAACCAAATCAAATACACACTCAGTTGAATCAAAGTCAAACAGAATGCAATGACAAAATTAAAATCTGAAAAAAATTCACAATATTTCTACAAATATGCTCAGCGCTGCACTTTGTGGAGTTCAAATATAAAAATACAACCTCAGTTTTGCAGCCACTCGATTCTTTTCATCCCTCTGGCTGCCATAACGATCGACCAGGCCTGATCAAGTGTCGAAAGTAATCAAAATCAAACAAAAACTGCCTCGTGAGTGAAAAACATGGCGCCAACTCTCTTCTCGTCGTCTCTCGCGAGAGATCAACCCTTACATAAAGTAGTTACCTAGCAAAATGCTTCACATTAAAATACCCTTTCAAAACAAATGTTCTGAACAAAAGCTATATAGCTCAAGGAACTACATGTATTACCCCGACCCTGCAGCGGGACTATTCGCGCTGTAGAGCGGAACGAAAGTAGCGACACTGGGTGCCAGGTTGGCAATTTATGTAAGAGTAAAATATGACTAGCCAACCCAGGGTCGTTACAGTATTATCCTAATCAGTGAATAATTCTATATATTGAACATGCAGTGCACAAACGTGGTCACTATTCAAAAACAGTTTTAAGAAACACATTAAGATAACGTCCTCCATTAAGCTTATATCCGCCATTTGTGACAACGGTATCTGATTTTGATTGTTGTTAAGATATTGGAAGGGAATTTTTAAAAAAATGGCTTCATTTAGAATGACTTTATAGCTGACTGAAGTTGATGATGACGTAATGATGGCGAAGATCATCAACTTCAGTTATAGTTTTTCTAAGTGAAGCCGTTTTCTGTGAAAATTCTCCAATATTGTGGGTGCTTTGGGCTTTCGTTTGTAGTTGAATACAATCGTAGTTTTATTAATTTGCATGTCTAGGTAGGTGTAATTTTACTCTGTAGCCTGTGATCGTTCACAGTGTGTCGTTACCTAAAAACGGGCTCATCAGATTCCCAGTACATCGGGAACATCCGATTCTAATAAATATCTATAGTTTCGTTCTGTAATGTGGGGTTAAGCCTAGAAATATTTTGATTTTTTCAGGATATGCACGAATCGAGTTATATTTTTTTTATTTACCATTTCATTTAAAGATATGCAATCATCTTGTGTATGAAGTCACAATACAGCCTCCAATCTGCAAATTTTAGCTTAAACGTGATCGATAAAAGAAAAATGACGAAAGTTTAAAAATACTGGACGAAAATAAAAATGTACTTAACGCAAGCCTGTTAATACCTGATAGCTTACGTCCAGTACATTTTCATTTCGTCCGGTATTTCTTTAAATTTCGTCATTTTTCTATTTTCGATCATTTCAAAGCTTAAAGTTGCTGACCGGAAACTGTATTCTTATTCAATATACAAGAGAATTACATATCTTGTCAATGAAATGATAAATAAAATTAAATCTGACTGGATTCGTGTATTTCCATGGAAAAAAATTAAGTATTTCCGTGCTTAACCCCACGTTACAAAAAACTAGATGAATAACTCTTATTTTATAAGAATTGTGTGTTCCTCAATGTACTGGGAATCTGATGAGCCTGTTTCTAGATAATGAAACACTGTAAAACGATCACAGGCTACCGAGTAAAATCACACCTAGCTCTCTCTGGATCGAAAATGAAGTTAGCGTCCAGTATTTCCAGTTGCACCAGTTTCTACCCCCTGGTATTCGTAGATTTCTTTTAAAAACTAAGAAATAAACATCTCATATCGAATTTTTCAAAACAGAAAAAATATGAATAAATAGTTATGCTTGCAGATCCTATTCCTCCTGGTGACATTTACATTAGTTAAGGAATAAAGACCGAGATTTTATGATTTATGGCGTAATATATAACCGAAAAAGTTATTCTGTACATTGATAAAGACCGAAATCGCGTAGCGATTGAGGTTCATATATTTGACATAAAATCAATGTCTTTGTTACGACTCAAACATGATAAACAGACAGAAAAAACTAATATTTTCATTTATGAATTTTAGCGGTCATACATACTCCAATATAGTGCAGAAAATCAATTGCTCTGGCTATTGTGACATCACGTATGATATTAGATTTAAGAAATAAAGACTAAAGAGCAGGGGTAATAATGTCGAATACACCCCGCAGGGTTAGGCACAAACGCTTTCGAACCCCTTCCAAAAATGTTTGTGCCTAGCCCTAAGGGTTTAATTCGACGATAGTACCCCTACTTGAGGTCTGTATTACGATTCGAACATGGAAACTCACCAAAATGTTTCGAATATTCATTATAGTAATAGGAAATATCAACTTTTTCAATCTCTATACAATGGTAAAATTTAATAAACTGCAGGTGTCAGTAAAAAGGACGCGGATGTTTAAGTTATAAGACTAATGGAGGAAATAGCTAAAATATTAAAGGAAATGTTTTCTAGAGTGCAGGGCTTCGCATGTACATGTTAAGTAAAAGGAATACGTTGTTGCCTTGCTGAAAATATAAGATAAGATAAGATAGTACTTTTCTGGAGAATTGGTCATTTACAATAAAGAAACATGCATACATAAAATAAAGGTATAATATATATGGTTGTTTACAATGAGGAAACATGCATACAAAGACACAGAGGGTATAGTATATAGCATAGTAATATTTATGATCAGTATATAAATGAGATAATCATATTGCTTGCTTACTTGGCATCACCTTTCTTTTGGAACCATTTCAGTAAATCATTTTTTGTTCCTATAAAATGCTTATAAAAGTTATGTGTTGAACGATACTGAGCATCCTCACTCAACAGCTTGAATAGAACATTGTGCCAAATGGACTGTCTCGATCACTTAATTTGGCGTTTCAACATGACTACCAGGTTTACCTCAGTATTATCTAATTATTTCAAAATTGTGATAAACATCGTTCGCTAACCCTATCATAAGAACTTATTTGGATAGATTTGTTATACTAACCCTCCCCCACACACCCTATTGGACAAGTCCTATAATTTCCATTGTGATCACCAATAGACATTTGAATTATTTTTTCTCTAGTTTTGACTTAAAGTGAATGGATAAAACTGAATAGCAAATTTAATAAATTCTTTCAAAGTACCTATTTTACCCTTGGGCATTATTGAAGGAGTTTTGGTAGCTCTTATACGCCATACAAATTAGGGTGTTTTTGATCATGCATATAGTCGCCGCACTAAATATCTATACTCTGTCGAAAACACTCGCCTTCTTTGAAATATGGCATAATGTCACCGAAGCTTGTACTCGGGCTTGTACTTCTTTTTATAAATAAATGATACTATTATAATGTTGTTTTACTTGCAACAATATTATTTAATAAAAAGAAGCTTTTACACTGGGGTCTATTTATTCATGATAGCTAGTATTTTCATTTAACCAGTTTAGTCTCAAGATAAATTGAAGATTAACAATGAAAAGTGATAACATGCTCTAATTCAGCCATGCAATATGTGACATCAAAGTGACACCCAAATGTGATAATATGTGACAATAGACAATTAAATCTCTCCAATATCTCTAAAATAACACCTACATCGATATGATATGATACGACATTAACAGATATATCAATGATCAACGTTTTTCAAAAAGTTTCCGTAATGTTGTTGTTTTTTGGTTGTTTTTGGTTTTGAATATTTTATCGTGCCACTTACGAGCCTAAATCTAAGTGATATCAGTATGTCATGAATAATATTGATTGGAATAAGTAGTATCGTTTAGTTTGTCCCATCACAAACATAGTTGCCAAGTAATTTTGTTATTTTGCTAAGTCATTTATGCTGGTCTTTATTCCCTGTTGGAAAAATAGTAAACTGCCAAGTCCTGCGTAGCCACAATACAAACGGGTTGCCATATAATAAGATTTATTTTGCCTTTATATCACTCAGTTTCTAGACACATTGATTGATACGTTTATACTCTTTATTTACTATACTGTATAGTTTATTTTATTACATACAGTTGAGTGAGTGATTTTATAGGGAATCACTATGGATACCATAGTTCCGCTACCCCTGGAAACAGGCACGTTGGCGTTTCTGCTAGACCAGGCTAAAGATTTTGCCATTGTACACGGTAAGAATTGTGCACGTTTATTTAAAAATATTAATAAACCAAACTTATAAATGTTAAAACTCTTGTTAGACCAGATACTCCTGTTGCTTGGGGTGTTCTACTGAAAATGTAAAGGTCATGAGATTTGACTTTCTCAACCTTTAGCACATACCCAAGGGTCTAAGAATATATGTGGTGCTTGTCTGAAAAATGGTCGGCGAATTTTAAATGAGCTATTATAGTGGTGCCCTTTTTCCAATTTCAGACATAGGGGTAGCTTCAAAAATATCTTTAGATTGATTGTTCATCTAGCTTATGGTAGTGACGAATTGATATTATTTTACATGCATGTCGGTTATATCTTCTGAACTATTTGGGCATTTTTGTGAAGCAGTTTTGAGTAATTAACCCTTTGATTCCCAAAGGTTGGTTGAAAAATAGGGCTATACTACATATTTTGTACATAGTTTAGTATTGAAAAAATGGCATAGTATTTGTTTCTCAAAAATTCAAGAATATTTCTTAAAAATATGAAAAATTTATCGGAATTTTTTATAGTATTTCAATATATTTCATAAGTACATGACATGAGTTATGATTAAAGTTATTTGCAAATTTATAACATATTTGTAACATCACATATTTATATAATCTATGACTTTTTGCTTTTCTCTACTATATCCATTAGCTTTTAGAGGTTTTAACCCTTTAAACACTAATATACAAAAACAATTGCATGTTATATTCTATTTAAATGTTATATTCTATTTAAACGATTTTTATGTTGTAAACATAAAATGTTCGTTAAGCTAAACCAAGGATAATGCAAACACCTGTTTTCGATAGGTAGCTTACTAATTATATGTTGAAGTCATATATTAACCCTTTGAACAGTAGTTATGATAATAGTGTTTTCATCCCTTTCAAAATATTACATTTATGTTCAGTTGTAAACATCAACATATATTTATCTCCATTTTAAATGTTGCACAAAGTACAGATTTGATAATTTCTACATGACAGATTATGTGCTTCTGTGATGCTTTCACCTTTTGGACACTAATACTGAATTAAAATATTTTCATACATGTTCATAATAGTCTTCACAACAATTATAATCCTCTGTAAATATAGATTGAAGCACTTTCTTGCATTTGTATTTCCATCAATATACATTGCTTTAGTGGCTAAAATTGTGTCTAAATATGTAACACTTGGTTACATCAATGACGGCTATTTATTTTCATTTACAATGTTTAATGTTACATACACCGATACTACATTACTCCCTACTACGCCTCTGTGATATTTAACCCTTTACACACGTATAGAGATTAAAATATTTTCAAATATTTTTTGTCATCAAACAATTATGCTCAGACGTAAACAACCAATGTACTTCGTCTTCGTTTCCAATGTTACAGATTATTCATTTATAATTTCTAGACAACTGAATATATACTTATTTGATATTTTAACCCCTGTACACTCATACTGAAAAAACGTTTTTGTACGCAAATGCCAATAAAAACCAGTAAACATTAAATCACTATGTAAAATCCCATGATTAATGTGTATGATAACATCTTATATTAATGTTAAATCTGTTGTTTAATCCTGTATCACAGAAAATATCATTCAAAATTAAAACATCTGATACGGAAAGAAAGTATCACAGAGTCTGATACTAAATTATACCAAAATTTATTCCAATATCAGTTGATATAAGTTAGTATCACCTCAGCTTTAACAGGATTATACCTGTATCATTTTCGATTATAACAGTCATTTTTGGTATGATACAAATTAAACTATATATTATATCTATGGAAAACAGATGATATTGTATTATATAGTGCGTATAAAAAAACGCAACATATTGTTATCTCGCAAAAGCACAAAACCAGTGATAACAGCATTTATTTCATTCAATGCACCATAAAGCCATATGTCTCCCCTTTACAATGATATATCATTCATTGATATTTGGTCATGGTTGGGCGAATAATCATTACATTTGCAAGGTGGGCCAAAATTAGTTTGGGGCCAAGTTATTAACATCGCAAAAGTCAGTGTACGGAGCCCGATGCAATATGGGAAGAAAACATTAAACCAATGCTGACTGCATCCTTTTCATTCAATGTACCAAAAGGCCAAGTTACTCCTTTTTGCAATGGAATGTCATTCATTCACAGGGAGTCATGGCTGGCCGAATAATCATTAATTTTGCAAAGTAGGGCAAAATCCAGCTCGGACTCAAGTTTCAAACATTGCAAAAGTCAGTACAAGGGGCATAAGGGCTATTGGAAGAAGGTGTGACATGTGAAGCATAGACAGTAAAGTGTTCATACTCATACTCTTGCAAGAATACATTCTATACCCCTGAAAATTGCCACCAGTTCCTTGCAGATAAGGATTTGCTCATCTGCCCACGTCATGCATGGTTCAGCCCTGAGTCATCTGTGGGTTAAAGCAGAGAAAATCAGCCCATGGGCAATTCTTTCTCGAGGTTTTGCAATATCTGGTGAAGTAATTGTGAGCACAGATGCTCCTGAGAAAGCTCCAAAAGAAAAGAAAAAGTCACAACAATTCAAGTCAGGGGAACTTCCATTGGCACATGTGAATGAATGACATATCATTGCAAAGAGGAGAGACTCGGCTTTATGGTACATTGGATGAAATTGATGTATTCATCACTAGTTTTGTAATTTTACGAGATAACTACTTGTTGCGGTCTTGTGATACGCCCTGTACAGTTTGGGAATTTCTAAAGACTTTGTTTTGATTAGTCCAGACCTAAATTAAACAAACCTTCTTAAATATTTGTTAACGCCATTATTGAGACCAATAATGTTTTTGTAATTTTAATATAGTTCAAGTGGCATACTTGCAAGTAAAATTTTATTTTCTAAAAATCCTTAAATCTCTAAGGAAATAATATAAAATTTCGGCAGATATGATACATGAACAAAATGTCAACCTACTTTCCTTAATACCGCTTGGAGGAAAAATAACCAAATTGGTACTAACTTGAATAAGTATATAAATATAACCCCCTGTAAAGATCAAATAACTATGTCAAAAGAACCAAAATAAGAAATCTGATAAGATACTTCAAATATTTTAAACACTTAAGACATAGAAATAAACACGAGTGAAAACCTTTATCCCGTACAGGAGAAACAATTGGCGTTAATAGCGAATTAGTCTGTCCGATTACAAATTATGTTGTTTGTAATTAAGGGATAAGACTTGATTGCAAAGGGTGACCTCTCATATCAACATATAAACAACGTTTATGGGTTACAAAATAAGACAAATAGTGACTGCCACATTTTTTGGAAACGGTGTAAAACGACCCCATCGGCCTCAAGTCTCTGGAACATGTCAGTTGACAGGATATTCCATCGGAAAAAAGATTTGCACTATTTCCCTCAAAGGCAGTCACTATTTGTATACTATTATCTCTTTCTGTAATATTTTTAACACTGATTTACAAATAAAATGTTTTCATACATGTAGGGATATGGAAATGCAATATGAAAATCCTAGGTTAAAGCAAGGTGTTAACCATTATTTTTGTGGAAAATCACGTTAAAAACAAAACGATGCTAAATATACATTGAATTAACGTTATGTATATAAGAAGTTACACTTTCTTTTTTCTATCGACATGCTACTTAATGACCTTAATATCAACCTTTAAATTGTGATCCCCACAGGGAAAATTAAATTGTAAACTTGTTTATCACTGTGTCTATTATGATTAAGCCTGGTCTATTAAAGGAAACTTAAATATCTTGAGATCGTGTATACAGGAAAATAACTGCAAATAAAAGTTGGAGATTTCAGAGCAATATAACAAAGCCTCTATTAGTGATAATCAGGATAATAGATTTTTAATTGTTTGATACATTTTAGGATTGGTTATTTGTGATACTGCTGATCAGCAACAGGTCGCTTCACATGTGTTGTTGCCCTCCCCTATTATAAGAAAACGGTATATAGAAGCTGTAGAAGTTGCGAAAGATTTCAACGAGCTCTATCATAAAGTTGCTAATGATTACAACTTCCTAAGAGATGCTTTAAAAAGGTATATGCGTATTTATTATTCTTATATGATACGTAGCGTCACAATAGTTGGAACAATTTATTTATTGGTCTATATTAAAGTATGTATGACCGCTATAATTCATTAGTGCAAATAGTTGTTTTTCTTGTCTGTTAAGCACATTAGATTTGTAACAAAGGACACAAATTTAAGATTCGTGGCGCACACACGGTGGTCCAAAAAAGTGAACCCCTGCAACGGGCCATACATCCCTTATAATTTGCAGGGATTCTTATATATTTTCACATGTTGTAAAGGAAGGTCTAAAATTTATGTTGGCATCATACATTTGTCTTAGTCTTTAAATTTGCAGAAATGATAAGCCCTTACCAAATATTACTGAAAATGGATAAAATGTGATTTTGTTCAATCTTGAATCTCGCACATTATGGCTTAAAACTAGCATCCTACCTGTGTTAGTTACAAAGTTCTTGAGATCCAAAGAAATGTTATAAGCTTCGAGTGAAATCGCGAATATACCCCTATATGATCTTGAAATGTCAAATCTTCACAATCATGGACCGAATCTAATGAGTTATTACTAAAAAATATTGAATATTAGATTTTCTTTGATTTTTAAAAGATATTTGATGAAAGGCTTCTCAGATTCCTGGTCACAGGAGTCAACTTCCTTCCACAAGAGGCCCTCTTCTAACTGCTGGTGTAGGTAACATACCCCTGAACTGTTGAACGGTTAAAACTGCTTCAAAATGATCAATGGAAGTATGAAATGTGATTTCAGCTTAAATAGAGTCCTTTTTTGTCATATGGTAGGGTTTTAAATGTATATCTCTAACTGAAAGCTGTTTCAGACCATTCAATGTGCTTCAACAATTTCTGTGAATCACATTGGTAAAATGTCGCACAATATCTAATTTTCAGGCATATTTACTGGGCTCTTGTAATTTCTTAAAAATTTAAGACTGAGATTAAACTATGGGATCAACCAAAATTGTAGTCCTTTCTCTACAACATGCGATAATATGACTCTATTCCTGCAAGTATTAAGGAAATATAGGCTGTTGCTGGGGTTCATTTTTTGGACCACCCTGTTTAAGACTTTTAATTTTGTTTTGGCCATTGCCAAAGACCCCGATCGCGATTTAACAATGAAGAGAATATAATTTTCGGTCATATTTTTGCAGTGAATCATAAGATCTCGATCTTTATTCCATAAATGAGAATCACGTCTTATCTTATTCTGTCATACATAGTTCCCAGCTAATTCAAGTGTTTAAGATTAAAAGGAATAACTTCAGTTCAGTTCGGTTCGTGAAATTCATGAATTAACACAAATCTCTAACATTATTTCCTTTGAAATAATATATGAAACTAACGTACACAAGTATGCTAAATCTAGGTCAAACTCAAAATGATCATCGCCTGATGTAAAATATAGTATAACAAGAAAAAGTTAAACGAGTTTGTTGAAATTGTATACACAAGTACTCTAAAACATTGCACATTGTCTTGCTTTAAAAAGGCAACTGTTTGATATTCAATAGGACTATGTAAATACATGCAAGAACGAATCAATATATTTTGGCAATACAACTGTAGTAGTCATTATGAGACAGGTTATTTCTAGCAGTGTAACACTCATTTGATGGTCGATGAAATTGCAATGCTTTGTCATTTATTTAGTTACAATACAACTCTTTATGTCGTTGAAGTATTTTACATTGTCACCTAACTAAATCGCTTCCTGGTCATCTCAACACCAAGTCAACTCAACCCAGTAAAACTCAACCCCAAGTCAACTCAATCCCAAGTCAAGTCAACCCCAGTAAAACTCAACCCCAAGTCAACTCAACCCTGTAAAACTCAACCCAAGTAGAACTCAACCCCTATATTTCTATAGATAAACAGTTTTCAGTCAGGGGGTGCCGATCGTGGCATAAGCGAGCCTAAAAAAGATATGTTTTGACAAAAAAATGATGCAAATTCCTTCAAAATTGGGGGGGGGGAGGTGTGTGCGCACCCCTCCTGGCTACGCCTATATGCTTTCAGTCTATTAATTAGTAAATGTTTATGATTTTGTTAATGCATGTTCGTATAAACAAAAATTTATTACATTGTTAATTATTTCTAAATTATCTAAAATTTGATTCCAAAAGATATCTTAAATTAGATAATGGTGACAACTCGATGAATTTTCCTTGAGCTTAACCTTTTTTGGAATTCTTTTACAACTTTCTATTCAAAGTATCGTGCAAAATGTTAGATTTTCAGAAATGATTGACTTAAATTATTCATAAAAAAAATTAAATTAGACACTGCACAAATGAATAGGGTTGAGTTTTTCTGGGGTTGAGTTTTACAGGGTTGAGTTGACTTGGGGTTGAGTTTTACTGGGGTTGACTTGACTAGGGGTTGAGTTGACTTGGGGTTGAGTTGGAATGGGTTGAGATGACTTGGGGTTGAGATAACCTTGACCACTAAATCTAGGTCAAGGTAAAATAACCGTCCAAATGTTGTCAAATATGGAGTGGTAGAAATGTGTTCGGATTGGTCAGAAATTGATATAAAATGTTTAGCTATACAAGCCTTTTATTGCTTTCAGTGTACTAGCAGTTGATAGCTTCACCAAAGGATTGTGGAACATTTATGAAACTGTAAGAAATGAAGGCATCGCACAGGTATGATTTCAATCTATATGTCATTATGATGACGGCCTTTCGAACGGATATTGACCCTTTGAATTGCCTATGGACTCCGAGACTGGATTTTACCTATCCCACATCATTTGAGACTAAATACTTTATCTCTTATGAGTATTATATCTAGTATCTACAACTATTTTTGATGTTATGAGTATTTGCTATCAAAGTTTTCAATTTTTCTTCAGCATGTATTGTAATGACTTCAGTATGAATGAAATGTCCCTTGGTGTTCTGGTCTTGGATTGTGATATCGGCTCTTGAACCGTGGGGGAAAAGGGTATTAGACATTATTTCTTTTCACATTAGATCATGTTTTTTGGGATATATGGGGTTTGTTTTTCTTGACTGGTATGCACTTAGGGTTTGCTTTTTCTTGCTAAGTTCCATTACAACATTTGGTCCTTTCCCCTTGGCACATGTGTTTAGATATTTGTATCACGAACGCTTCTTTTTGTATTGAACTGTTATGCAACGTTTCACCATTATAGAACAAAGAAAAATGTCTAGATTAGTAAGAAGAACACATTTTTGATAGAGTTCTCTTCATGAAGTTGACTCTGTATAATGTTTTACTGTTCTAAAGAGCTAATAGAAACAAAAATTCAATACTTATATAAACAAATAACATTGCTTGTTTTGAATGGATAATTGATGAATAATATCTCAATAAATACGTCTCCTTCAGATAAGAAATTTTTGTAATTTGTTTTTAGCCGATAAATTTAGGTATTGTGCGGTCTGACTATATGGTCGAGTATGATCACAAGGATTCTCAAAACAATGTGGAAAATGGAGTAGCAGACGTGAATGGTGATGTAAATGATTCCAATACGAGGCTTCGCCAGGTTGAATATAATACAATTGCGACAGGCGCTGCAGGCCTTTCTACACAAGTAGCAAAATTGCACAGGTTTGGAATTATCTACGAGAACGCAAGATTTGTATCATATTTTAGTTTTACTTTTGCAATATTTCTGTTTTGAGTAATTTCCATAAATATTGTAATATATCTGTAACAATATTTTGTACAACTAATTTTTTTCCTTTGTACTTATGTGCCAAATAACATAATGCCGATGATCACTTAAAACACTTGTATAAAAATGCTATTTACACCATCAGGTTCACACAATGTAAGACACTTTTAGATGTGCAAAAGATGGGTTCATTTGACTCTCGTTTGTTTAACTACAGTACCTGCTTGGTAACTTTGAACTCTTTTTGCAAGGTATCTCGCCAGTGAGATGGAACTTGAAGTTAAACTCTTAGAAAATAACCCTGTAAGTGGAACCGCCAGTGGTATAGTCGAGGCCTGGCAAATGTATGGTAACGAAAGGTGAGTTGAAGTCATAGACTGTCAGTATATGTTGGTTTGCATCGAACGGTAGCCTAAAAGTACATGTTTCCCAATATATGGACATAGAAATTGAGGAATTAACTAGAGTGTCTGAAATCATTTTAATAAACCTACTGATAGCGATAGATAGCAAAATGAAAATATACATGTGTTAAAGTGAATGTCAATGTTACAGTAGCTGATCCATTTGATCCGTTCACAACTTTCTAAAGCATCAACCAAAGGTCCTAATTGAGTTAGGTGTGGGAGTTGCGCCGTGTATATAAGGATGCCGATAATATTATATATGAAAGGTGGAATAAAGAGAATATTTTCACAAGGGAATATGTTGAACAACTAATTTATATACTTTTTTTGGCTTGATTGAATGGCTATAAATCCCGAGTTCCAATATGTCTCAATTAGAAGACGATAGAGTCACAAGGATTATGTCTAGCGGAGTTTATAATTTTTGTGAACATTTTATTCCTGGATCAAAAAATGTCATTTCAATTCCATAAACTTACGATTGATGGCGAAGCGTCTAAAGGTAGATCATGTGACACAAAACAACGATCATGTGACACAAAAACAACGATTCTTTCACTAGATGGAGTAGTTAAAATGAGGTCAATTTTATTACAAACGAAAACCGTTTTGCTCAGCTTGAATTTTGCTCTCGTAGTCGATAAAAACTGAAACTTCTGTCATTGATATCAAGATGAATGATTTGTTCAGGTTCTGGTATTTTGACAAAATTATGTTAAGGTCATAGCCATTCTTCAGGGAAGGTTTAAGGCACAAACGATTTATTTTGGAATTTTTCTAAGGAATTAACCCCGATTTACTAGCATTCCACCTTTTATATCTACATTACTTGGAGACATTCAATCACATTATATTAATTGAGTCCTCATATTTCCACAGGATTGGTTGTTCCCTCGATTATCTCAATATAATAATTACTCTTACTCCATGATGTAACTTACATTGATATAACATTGTTTAATTCAAAAGTAGTATTAGTCTTTGGCATGTACAGTCCAAATCTGATTGACATTGCATCATTCAACTCCCATACGTCATTCCAATTCCAGAGCAGTTATAGTCTCTGTTGTGTACAGCATTAATCTGATTGATATTACGTCATTCCACTTCCAGAGCACTTGGCATTGCGTCATTTCACTTTCAGAGCAGTAATAATCTTCGTAGTGTATAGTCCTAATTTGATTGAAATTACCTCATTCCACTTCCAAAGCAGTAATGGTCTTTAGTAGTGTATAGTCGTGATCTGATTGACATTATGTAATTTTACTTTCAGAACAGAAATACTATATGTTGTGTATAGTCTTAATCTGATAGACATTACATGATTTCACTTTCAGAGCAGTAATAGTCTTAGTTGTGTAAAGTCTAAATCTGGTTGACATTGCGTCATTTCACTTTCAGAACAGAAATAGTTTACGTAGTGTATAGTCTTAATCTGATTGACATAACATCATTCCACTACGACAGAAGTAATAGTCATCGAAGTGTATAGTCCTTATCTGATTGGCATGACGTCATTTCACTTCCAGAATAGTTATAGTCTTTATAGCTTTAATCTGATTGACATTATGTCATTTTTTCCAGAGCAGTAATAGTCTTTTAGAGTATAGTCGACGTTTGATAGACATTATATCATTTTACTTCCAGAGCAGTTATAGTTTTCGTAGTGTATAGTCTTAATCTGATTGACATATTTTTCCACTTTCAGATCAGTAATAGTCTTTGTACTGTATAGTCTTAATCTGATTGGCATGAGGTCATTTCACTTTCAGAGCAGTAGTAGTCTTTGTCATATACAGCCCTAATCCCCAGGTGTATGATAGGCGATGGCTTGAATATGCAGTGTATGAATTGAATAGCAGAATCAAAATAATAAGCTGCACTATACATGATATGAGTGAGGCAGTTCTCACTAAAGATAAAAAATTATTTATGTAAGTATTACAACAAGAGGAACAGTAAAACCTGTGTATAATGGACATTTTTGAGCCACCAAAAGAGTTGACTGTGTTGGTCAAAGAGAGATATACGTTTAAGATCATGCCTGGACTGCATGCCCTTGAAAATTGTGTTTGAGGTTTTGAAATTGATCCCGACAATGCTCCTAGCATAGACATTTGTGATGCAAATTTACATCTTCGTTGCAACATAACCCTGTGGTCAAAATATCAGGAAAAGTGCTAACTCATGCCATGGGCTTTCAAATCTTGAAAAAATCCATGCCTGTGTTCAACTTGAAGCTATCGTCTGATAAGGTTTTTCGGCATGCTGGGTAAATAACGTAGTGACGAATCTGAATATTTTGATAAAATTCATCGATCACTATGTGTCTTTTTGTAATTGTAGGAAAGATAGAGAAGTTGGCGTAGTGTACTTTAGATCTGTTGGCTCTCCAAGACACTTCACATCAAACGAGGTATACATGCTCGGACGTGATCAGTACCAGCAATTGTCTTAGTAGAGAACCACAAAGACATATAACCATTTTTGCAAAAAAACTATAGTGTCTTTGATTTACTGGCGGAAGGGTCGGTGAAATTGAAAATTACACGTTTCAACCTCAAAATTATAGTTGTTTTTGTGTTTGAGATTAATATAAACGAATTTATCTAACTTGAAAATAAGCCATTTAGATATATTACGCAGACACTTTGTAAATGTAAATATGAATTAAGCAACTAGTGAACATCTGTATATCACCCTTAAACTATATGTGTTTGATAGTGTGCCATACATTTCAGGTCTGGGAGACAAGGTTAAACATTGAACGTTCAATGGCAATCAAATGTCCAAATATCAACTTTCAACTCTCTGGGACCAAGAAAGTCCAACAGGAGTTGACCAAACCAGGCGTCGTAGAGAGATATATCAAAGATCCAAATGCCGTTCAGAGAATAAGAGCTACATTTGCACAACAATTCAACTTAGAACAGGTAAATTGTAATTGTAATTAAGATAGGTTAGAGTTATACAGAGTATCTTTGATTTTAAGTAACACAGGTAATTCAACCCTGCCAAATAAGGTACCGTGTATTATTCGTGTCTTGTATATCAAAGATCCTAATGCCGTTCAGAGAATAAGAGCTACATTCGCACAACAATTCAACTTAGAACGGGTAATTGTAATAAAGATTAGCTATAGACAACATCTTTTTGGGCAACACAAACAATTAAACCTTGTTTAAAACAGGTAAAATACATGATACGTTTTTTAATATTTCATAACATTTTTACTAAGCATCAATATTCCCCAGGAATAGTGTCCAAAAGTAAACATATTGAGATTTTGCAAGGGGAATGTGTGTGTGTTTTTGGTGGGGGTATAAGTGTATATTTCATGATTGAAGAACGCATAATTGAGAGCATCATTCAAACGTAGACAATGTAAGGGTATACCAACATAGATGAAAACCTCTGTAAGTTGAAAACCTCCCAATTTGAATGATTAGATGTACCTTAGATTTATTTGTATTTACAAACATTTTCAGAATGAGGAGGGTGACAATGCTTTGAGATTGGGCATAGAAAAACCAGAGGGATTTGTTTTGAAACCCCAACGTGAGGGTGGAGGTATGTGTATTTGTTGTGCATGCTATGCCGTGTGATATGACCTTTGCTTTTCCTCAAGACTATGCACCAACTGTGTACTTCACTGTGATGTTGTTATGGTTCAACCCTTCAAATTTCATGCATTTTCGTATACACGCGTGCGCCATTCACTCGCACGGCACTTATGCCTTGGTCACATTTGCTCCGATTTTCACTACGGCGCCCGGCCGATTGAGTATTTTGTTCAAAATTGAATACAATAATGAGCAAAACACTCAATCGGCCGGGCGCCGGCCGATGGATCGGAGCAAATGTGACCCAGGCATTAAGGACAGGGTGCATGTTGGGAAATTTTCTGCATTCCTCAATTGAGTCACATGTTATTTTTCAAACAAGAATAACTCCTTCCCCATATTGTTTACATCTCCCAAGTTTGCACAAAGAATGCACTTCTGTGCCTAGAAAGGCCTTGTGAAAAGGTTTGTTTTGTAAAATGTATAAACAAGGCATTAACATGACAAAATGTCACCACCTAGTTGCTCACAATATTATGAGTTCAAACTTAAGTCAGATTTGAATTTCTGAGAACTTGTAAAGTCAAATTTGAACTTCTGAAAAGATGAAGATGATTTTGAAAAAAAAATTTGGTCAATTTGAAGCAAGTTGAAAACAGACCTTTTTGACCTTTTTTGACCTTGAGAAGGTCATTAAAGGTCAAATGTCAAATCTAAAGTCAGATTTGAATTTCTGAGAACATGTAGATGATTTTGAAAAAAAAAATTAGTCAATTTGAAGCAAGTTGAAAAAAGACCTTTTTGACCTTTTTTGACCTTGACAAGGTCATTGAAGGTCAAATGTCAAATCTAAAGTCATATTTGAATTTCTGAGAACATGTAGATGATTTTGAAAAAAAATTTAGTCAATTTGAAGCAAGATGAAAAAATACCTTTTTGACCTTTTTTGACATTGAGAAGGTCATTGAAGGTCAAATGTCAAATCTAAAGTCAGATTTGAATTTCTGAGAACATGTAGATGATTTTGAAAAAAAAAATTAGTCAATTTGAAGCAAGTTGAAAAAAGACCTTTTTGACCTTTTTTGACCTTGACAAGGTCATTGAAGGTCAAATGTCAAATCTAAAGACATTTTTGAATTTCTGAGAACATGTAGATGATTTTGAAAAAAAATTTAGTCAATTTGAAGCAAGATGAAAAAAGACCTTTTTGACCTTTTTTGACATTGAGAAGGTCATTGAAGGTCAAATGTCAAATCTAAAGTCAGATTTGAATTTCTGAGAACATGTAGATGATTTTGAAAAAAAAATTTAGTCAATTTGAAGCAAGTTGAAAAAAGACCTTTTTGACCTTTTTTGACTTTGAGAAGGTCATTGAAGGTCAAATGTCAAATCTTAAGTCAAATCTAAAGTCAGATTTGAATTTCTGAGAACACGTAGATGATTTTGAAAATTTTTTTTAGTCAATTTGAAGCAAGTTGAAAACAGACCTTTTTGACCTTTTTTGACCTTGAGAAGGTCATTGAAGGTCAAATGTCAAATCTTAAGTCAGATTTGAATTTCTGAGAACACGTAGATGATTTTGAAAAAAAATTTTAGTCAATTTGAAGCAAGTTGAAAACAGACCTTTTTGACCTTTTTTGACCTTGAGAAGGTCATTGAAGGTCAAATGTCAAATCTAAAGTCAGATTTGAATTTCTGAGAACATGTAGATGATTTTGAAAAAAAAATTTAGTCAATTTGAAGCAAGTTGAAAAAAGACCTTTTTGACCTTTTTTGACTTTGAGAAGGTCATTGAAGGTCAAATGTCAAATCTTAAGTCAAATCTAAAGTCAGATTTGAATTTCTGAGAACATGTAGATGATTTTGAAATTTTTTTTAGTCAATTTGAAGCAAGTTGAAAACAGACCTTTTTGACCTTTTTTGACCTTGAGAAGGTCATTGAAGGTCAAATGTCAAATCTTAAGTCAGATTTGAATTTCTGAGAACACGTAGATGATTTTGAAAAAAAAATTTAGTCAATTTGAAGCAAGTTGAAAACAGACATTTTTGACCTTTTTTGACCTTGAGAAGGTCATTGAAGGTCAAATGTCAAATCTTAAGTCAAATCTTAACTCAGATTTGAATTTCTGAGAACATTTAGATGATTTTGAAAAAAAAAATTAGTCAATTTGAAGCAAGTTGAAAACAGACCTTTTTTGACCATGAGAAGGTCATTGAAGGTCAAATGTCAAATCTAAAGTCAGATTTGAAGGTCAAATGTCAAATCTTAAGTCAGATTTGAATTTCTGAGAACATGTAGATGATTTTGAAAAAAATTTTAGTCAATGTGAAGCAAGTTGAAAAAAGACCTTTTTGACCTTGAGAAGGTCATTGAAGGTCAAATGTCAAATCTAAAGTCAGATTTGAACTTCTGAGAACATGTAGATGATTTAGAAAAAAATTGAAGTCAGTCTAAACAGTATTTGTTAAGTTATAGGAAGTTGTAAGAAATTGTTACAGACGCCGGACGCCAACCGCCGGACGCCAACCACCAACCGCCGGACGCCGTCGCAAAAAAACGGAGACCATAACAATATGTCACCACTTTTGGTGGTGACATAAAAATGAGAAAATTCAGTGAAAAAAATTTCTGAACATTTTCTGATTTTTTTCAATTGAGGAATGTAGAAAATTTCCCATCATGCACCCTGACCTTAATGGGCATTGTCAGTAGGTATCACGAAAAGAACAATAAGCTCCGCGATGCAAATTACACGTTCGCGTGTTTAAAACAAAAAAAACGCATTCAAGCATTTAAAACTTTTCATACCGCCGTGCCAACTTTGTCAGTAGACACGTTCTGGTCAGTCGCTGTTGCAACAAATGTTGGTGCTGTTGTGCCCTTGAATGGGTCGTTTTTGTTAAAAACATGCAACCATGCAATTGGTCAATAATCTTTTTCATGATAAGGCTCATTTATTGCTGCATGCGTAATGCCTTGGTCACATATTCTCCGATCCATCGGTCGGCGCCCGGCCGATTGAGTTTTTGTTCAATATTGCATTCAATTTTTAACAAAATACTCAATTGGCCGGGCGCCGTATTAATGCCTTGGTCACATTTGCTCCGATATCATCGGCTGGCGCCTGGCCGATTGAGTATTCTGTTCAAAACTGTATACAAATGTGAATAGGATACTCAATCAGTCGGGCGCCGGCCGATTACTTGAAGCAAATCGGACCCAGGCATATAAATCGGAGCAAATGTGACCAAGGCATAAAAAGTATCACGTGTAATACAAAAATACAGCCTAAATAACTCGTTGAGATAGACACTGGATTATGCGTGGGTCACATATGCTCCGATCCATCAGCCGGTGCCCGACCGATTGAGTGCTTTGTTCAATATTGTATTCAACTTTGAACAAAATACTCAATCGCATCGGCGCCGTAGTGAAAATTCGAGCAAATGTGACTAAAGCATTAGTAACAGTAAAATGTGCAATAAGAACTAAGAGAAATATAAGTTTGAATTTAGATAAGAAAGTAAAGTTAAAGGTATCATTAATCATGAGGTGTTGAGATACCTTTTAACATCTCTACATTCATCATAACGCACCAAAAGGTGAAGAACACTTGGGTGAGGGGGTAACAATGTTAAAGCCATTTTGGAAATTTAGCAAAAACTATTTAAATTAATTCTGGTTTCTCGTTAGGACATTTGCGAAACCACGATATTTTCTCACTTTTTACAAAAATATAATTTTGAAGTGTTATCACATGAATATCGCTAAAACAATGTAATAAAAAAGGAATGTATATATTAATTATATCACTACCAAACCCCTACCCCCCTCTCGAATTGGTCCATGTCCTACACGTGACTAAAAAAAACAACATAACTTAAACGGAAGTCACGTGACTACATTGGAATATCAAATGATGTCCACTAGTTGCGACTCAGTCTAGTATCAATAGTATATCTAGGGAATACATTGTTATGATTAATTAGACATCAATAGTTTGTTGTATCATAAACACGAGTGAGTAATATGACAGTGGATAATAAAACAAATTCTAGTTTTCGGTGAATACCTATGACACGTTCACAAGATGATATTCAACTAGTCTTTGGGCTTCATTGAATATCACTTGTGAACGATGCTCAATTATTCACCTCAATAGAATTAAAAATTTGTTTAATATTTGTTGAGTCGTAAACCACATTGGTCTACATTGTATGTATTGTATTTCCATTTTAGGGAACAATTTTTTCGGAGATGACATCAAAGAATTGCTATCTAAGATTAAAGATTCAGATGAAAGAACACAGTATGTTTTAATGGAAAGAATCAGGCCACTTGTGTTCAAAAACTATGTAGTATGGGAAGACAAATCAGTTGCATTATGCGATATGGTCAGTGAATTGGGGATATATGGAGTCATAATGGGGTAAGGATTTGACTTTTATAATACTGTATAACACTATATGATAACTCTGCCTGTAGATATTTTAAACTGGAATATTGTACTATAAACATTCCATTTAGAAAAATATTTCATGATATAAAATGTTTAACCAATCATAGCATTTATCAATTACAAACTTACAAGAAAGCTCCATCGTGAAAACTGTCTGTGCCTCATTGCATCGTTTAGTACTTTAGTATTTCGTTTATCTACAATAGTGTCGAATCATGACACACTATTCTATGTACAAACTGAAAAACTAACTTTAAACTTCGAGAATACATGGATAAAATAAACTCAGTGTATCTCTTAGAACATACACAATCAATGTTTTTCTATGAAAAAGTATGTTTATTAGCTATCTTATGAATTATATAATTTCTATGTGTATCAGGTGTCCCAAAAATGAATCACCTTTTGACTTTTCTCAGCAATTGATCACTCAAAATTATAAAGGGTACCATTAGCAAGTTGTACGAATGTCAGAGCTGCATAATGTGATTTCTTAGCATTTGTGTCTGCTATCAAGTGATTGAATCTGTCAATCAGTTTTAATCTCAAAGCAGATTCTCTGTGTGTCAGGTTAATCTTTATTGAATCTTTTATTGAATTGTCGCCCCAGGTGCGGTAGGTTGCGGGTTCTATTCCTAAAGGAATATATCATTTTTTCATTTTTTAGTTGTAGCCTCGCTTGTTATTACGCAGAAATAAACAAGTATCAGAGTAACTGTAGCATAATTAAGAGTCCCTACGGTCTCAGCGTATGAGAGACTCTATAAGTACCTTTTCCAGTGATATTGGATTTTTCCACATACGCTTTTGAATTTGTCAATTCAAACGTAATGTAACTGAGTTCTTTCATATTTGTACAGTGATAGTTGCTGATGATACCCTCGGTCTATTCTTTAGAAATTTCCAATGAACCTAATCAATCAATTGCTGAGACAAAAGTTGTCAAAGATTATTCATTGTTTGGGGACACCAGATATTTATTTTATTAAAAATAGTCTCAAAGCATGACCCATTAGTCTATGGACAAATTAAGAAACTAATCTTACTTAAAAGTAACACCAAACTATGAGTATAAATAGATGAAACATTTGAAGGCATATAGATAACGTTTAGTATGCTTCGGCTTGGCAATATAGCGGTCTTATTGATAAATTAAAAGTATCCTGTGTTGAGTTTAAGTCAATAACACCATTTCAGTGGACCTCTTAGAAAAGTTAAATGATATTATTTCTTACGATTTTATTTTGTTTTACTTTTAGATATTTCGATATATACTTTAAAGTTCTGTATTGCAGATGGATGTTCTAAATAAATGTTATTGTAAATAATATATACTTTGATTGTTCTTCAATACAATTTTTATATTATAAATATTTTGTTATGATCCAATATGTTAACTTTATGAAAAACACAATAAAAAACTGCAATTTAATATTTTCAGGACACCAGATCGCATTATCATGAACACAGAATGTGGGCATCTGGTACGAACTAAAACTCTGGGTACTAATGAAGGTAGTGTGTCTGAAGGTTTTGCAGCTTTTGACAGTCCATATCTTTTGTAATTACACTTGTAGAATTGGCCAGTTGATATATTGAATAAATACTAATGAAGGAGGTGTGTCTGAAGGTTTTGCATCTTTTGACAGTCCATATATGATGTAATTAAACGTGTAGAATCGGCCAATTGATATAATGAATAAATACTAATGAATGGGGTGTGTTTGAAGGTTTTGCAGCTCTAGACAGTCCATATCTTGTGTAATTACATCTGTAGAATTGGCCAATTGATATAGTGAATAAATACTAATGAAGGAGGTGTGTCTGAAGGCTTTGTAGTTCTAGACAGTCCATACATGGTGTAATTACACTTGTAGAATTGGCCAATTGATATAATGAATAAATACTAATGAAGGAGGTGTGTCTGATGGCTTTACAGCTCTACACAGTCCATATCTTGTGTAACTACACGTGTAGAATCGGCCAATTTATATAAAGAATAAATACTAATGAAGGTGGTATGTTTGAAGGGTTTGCAGCTGTAGACAGTCCATATGTTGTGTAATTACACTTGTAGAATTGGCCAGTTGATATAATGAATAAATACTAATGAATGGGGTGTGTCTGAAGGCTTTACAGCTCTAGACAGTCCATATCTCGTGTAATTACACTTGTAGAATCGGCCAATTGATATAGTGAATAAATACTAATGAAGGAGGTGTGTCTGAAGGCTTTACAGCTCTAGACAGTCCACATCTTGTGTAATTACACTTGTAGATTCGGCCAATTGATATTATAGTGAATAAATACTAATGAAAGAGGTGTGTCTGAAGGCTTTACAGCTCTAGACAGTCCATATCTTATGTAATTACACTTGTAGAATTTGCCAATTGATATAATGAGCAAATACGAGGGGTGATCAATAAGTAATGGACGCTTTTTTACACAGATACTTTTTATAGACCAATCCCTTTGATTTTCCTACCAGTAATACATCATTCAATTATCCATCAATTCTGAAGATTTGAAGACAAGATATATAATACATATTGATATATCCTTATTTCCGTGAAGGAGGTACAGGTACCCCGGGACCGACATTTACGTCACATATTCAGATTTTAGCCAGTTTGGTAAATTTCAGTTAGATTTGAACGTTTTATATGTTGTTTAAAATTTTTTGCTGAGTGGTCACACATAAACAGAAAGTATTGTAATGTCAGAGTGTTGTATGGAAGGGGTTTGCAGGTCAATTTGAGAAAGCATTAAGTGGAATAAAGGGGTGGTGAGAGAAGGGCACACCCTACTCGATATGGACAATGCACCTGGCCACAGATCTCAAAATGTTCAGAAAACAATATCCCTGGACCTCAAAATTGAGCCCTTGGCCAATGCACCATATTGTCCATATCTGCTCATATGTGACTTGTTTATTTCTATACTACTTATTTCTATAGAGAAAGGACGCAGGTTTATTGACATTGATGAAATAAAACAACACGTGCAACTGCATCTTGCTACCATGTCAGAGAATGGATTCAGCCTTGTCTCACAATCTTGAGTTAAGAGGATGAGGAATTGTGTACATGTAGCACTTGATGGAAAGTATTTAGAGGGCCCTGTGGAATGAATGTGGCATGAATACCACATAGTGATGATAAAATATTCGAAATTATTATATTATTACTATGGCGTAACAAAATGGGGTAATTCATGACCATAATGGTTTGTTTTGTTCAGCCTGCATTCAACTGCATTGCATGTTAAACAATCTAAAATAGCTTCAGAATATGTGACGTAAATGTCGGTCCCGGGGTACCTGTACCTCCTTCACGGAAATAAAGATATATCAACATGTAATATATATATATATTGTCTTCAAATCTTCAGAGTTGATAGATAATTGAATGATGTATCACTGGTAAGAAAATCGAAAGGATTGGTCCATAAAAAGCATCTGTGTAAAAAAGCGTCCATTACTTATTGATCACCCCTCGTACTAATGAAGGTGGTGTGTCTGAAGGTTTTGCAGCTCTAGACAGTCCATACATGGTGTAATTACACGTGTAGAATCGGCCAATTTATATAATGAATAAATACTAATGAAGGTGTGTCTGAAGGTTTTACAGCTTTAGACAGTCCACATCGTGTGTAATTACACTTGTAGAATTGGCCAGTTGATATAATGAATAAATACTAATGAAGGAGGTGTGTCTGAAGGCTTTACAGCTCTAGACAGTCCACATCTTGTGTAATTACACTTGTAGATTCGGCCAATTTATATAATGAATAAATACTAATGAAGGTGTTTTGCAGCTCTAGACAGTCCATATCTTGTGTAATTACACTTGTAGATTCGGCCAATTTATATAATGAATAAATACTAATTAGTAGGTGTGTCTGAAGGTTTTGCAGCTCTAGACAGTCCATACATGGTGTAATTACACTTGTAGAATTGGCCAATTGATATAATGAATAAATACTAATGAATGGGGTGTGTTTGAAGGTTTTGCAGCTCTAGACAGTCCATATCTTGTGTAATTACATCTGTAGAATTGGCCAGTTGATATAATGAATAAATACTAATTAGTAGGTGTGTCTGAAGGTTTTGCAGCTCTAGAAAGTCCATACATGGTGTAATTACACTTGTAGAATTGGCCAATTGATATAATGAATAAATACTAATGAATGGGGTGTGTTTGAAGGTTTTGCAGCTCTAGACAGTCCATATCTTGTGTAATTACATCTGTAGAATTGGCCAGTTGATATAATGAATAAATACTAATTAGTAGGTGTGTCTGAAGGTTTTGCAGCTCTAGACAGTCCATACATGGTGTAATTACACTTGTAGAATTGGCCAATTGATATAATGAATAAATACTAATGAATGGGGTGTGTTTGAAGGTTTTGCAGCTCTAGACAGTCCATATCTTGTGTAATTACATCTGTAGAATTGGCCAATTGATATAATGAATAAATACTAATGAAGGAGGTGTGTCTGAAGGTTTTGCAGCTTTAGACAGTCCATATATGATGTAATTAAACGTGTAGAATCGGCCAATTGATATAATGAATAAATACTGATGAAGGCGGTATATCTAAGGGCTTTGCATCTCTAAGCAGTCCACATCTTGTGTAATTGCACGTGTAGAATCGGCCAATTTATATAATGAATAATACTAATGAGCGGGGTGAGTATGAAGGCTTTACAGCTCTAGACAGTCAATATCTTGTGCAATTACACTTGTAGAATTGGCCGGTTGATATAATGAATAAATACTAATGAAGGTGGTGTGTCTGAAGGTTTTGCAGCTCTAGACAGTCCATATATGGTGTACTTAATTTGTAGAATTAACCAATTGATATAATGTATAAATACAAATAAAGGAGGAGTGGCTAAATTAATTACTGTATAATTAAAAGGACAATGGAATAAATACAAAGTCATGTATGCTTAACCTTGTTTTTTACTTTCAAGGCGAGATTGTCTTAATCATATACTCGTCCATCTTCTTTTCTTTCCATACTGTACTCATTTTAAACCCCGTGCAGACAGATCGCCTAAAATTACATTCGTATGATGCGAGACTCGACATTCACCGGGAAATTAGAAACAAATTGCCACCCATGAAGCAAATTAATTGTTTACTGCTTAAAATAGTAGAAGTAGAGTCGAACTCTAGAAGTTAGTGGTCTACGATATGTTTTTCATCAGGATGTTCATGATTGGTGATGGGGAAAGGGAGGGGGTGGTTGGTTGTAATGCAAGTAGATATTTTGTTATTTTCGATTGTGTTGTGTGGTTGGGTATCAAGACGTTTCACCCCTTGGGACGTTTCACCCCTAGTCTGTTCATCCCCTAGACATATCATCCCCCTTGACTTTTCATCCCGTAGACGTTTCACCCCTTAGACATTTCACATCCTGGACGTTTCACCCCCTAGACATTTCACCCCTAGACTGTTCATCCCTTAGATGTTTAACCCCTGGACATTTCATCCCCCGGACGTTTCACCCCCCTATATGAGAATATATATATATATTATTTATCACCATGTCATGAGTTGAGTTTTTAGTAAATTTTGACTGAATATACATACAGAATGATATTGATTTCCCCAAGTAGGTATAAATAGATTTTTTTTAAATTGCACTTGCACTGAAAAGACTGAAGAGTCTCTAATAGGCTCTAAGATAATTCCTTCGCTTGTTATTAATGACCTGTATGAAAAATAGAATGTGAAAAAGTAACAACAACAGACTTATTATCAATTATTATCTAGAATGATAACAATGATTCAATGGTAATTGCTATAACATGTGCCAATAGATTGCGTATTTGGTTGAGCCTTTTTATGGCGGGTTGATGTGAGGTTGGTATAATTTATACTATATTTACTCTGACTTAGTTTCCGCTATCAAAATAAATATTGTCCATGAAGATACAACCCCTCTTGGCCTATGATATACGTGTATAAGCGTGTGAATGTTAACATTTATGTGGGTATAGCAGTTTGTGGCTCTTGATTCTATGGTGGTAATGCAAATCGCTATTTTGCAGGCTTGTAAGCAGTCTCTGAACAGTGATTTCACTCTATTAAAACATATCCAACTGACTGACAAGATCCAAGTTAATATCAGTTCATATCAAGGAAATATTCTTAGAACTAAAAATTTCAAAATAGCACGTCAAAATACCGGAACTCTAATATGAGAAGTGTTTGTATCAGCTATCTTTGGCGCACACTCGGTCTTCACTTCGTTCGATGGAAACTAGTCTCACTAAGTTCTTTAGAATAGGCTTAAATATGTATGAACGGATTTTGTAAGAACGTTTGGGGTATATTCACAAACTCGAACGTATACGTCCTCCACTTCTTAGAGTATGCTCAAAATGTTCTGGTGGTCGTCATTTTCTGCATTCAGGGCGAGTGACAACGTACTAAGGACGACCTTGACGTACTACGAACATAACTGTTGTACTTCAATCTAACAAGGAAACATTTTGAGGGCAAAATTCGACCTAACATACATTTCAATATAACATTTGTTTAACGAAATCCAAGTCTATAGTTAACATACATGTACGTTTTACCTCAAATTCCAACACATATTTAAAGAACATGTTTATTAAAGGGATCCAACACCTTACAAAACTTTTTAATGGAGAGGAATAAGGGAACATGCTTGCCGGATTCTGAATCTGTGTATTTTTTAATGATTTTTCACCGTCTTAGAATTTCAATTTTTTTCTTTCGAAAAAATGAGATTTGCATTGTTTTCCAATTAGAAAAATGAGTAAACATGAATAGCTCGAAATCTAACGGTGAGATTTTGTTTTAAAAAATCATGGATATCAAGGCTAAATATAGCTACATGTATACAGTAAACATAAAAAAGCAATGCTTGGACTCTTCATATTCACACAAAAAATTAATTAGTAAATGAGGTTTGATATTTGTGAGAATAAGTTGTACGAGGTGCAATGCTCTACAAACACAAGACTACAGGGTGAATTAGGATCAATGACACACATAAAAATTAATTTAAAAATATTTCATGATAATTATCTCAAACAAAAGCAGTTGGCGAAGGATACGTTTCATTACACTCAATAAATAGTTATCACTTTTGACTATATATACATATCTCATGGAAATGTATTTCCATCTGCTCAAGATATTATATTTTAGCTTCGAAAATCACAATCGTTGGATAATACATTTGTCTCAGAATGATAGGCCACCCTGTAGCAATGTAGCTTTCACTTGAAGTGCACCCTTGAGAATAATGAACTTACTTTCAAATTGGTCTTGCTTTTGTGGTGTATGTGGCTTTTTAGCAAATCTTCCACGTAGTAGATGGGTTAACTGCATTTTAGGGGGTCTGGACTTCAATCTATGATGCAAACGTTTCCTTTGACATGAGAGTACCTTAGGACCATAGAAACAAATTTATCCAAAGACACACGCCAGATGGCGCTTTATATTGGAAATATTCACATTTTCCAAAATGGCCGCCAAAAATACAACGGAGACCATATATTTTCTTCTATGCATACTATAATGATACGACTGGTGCCTAAATATACATTTTGTGGGTGAAGAATCAATTTAGTATGGGTTTGAGTCTTGAAAATTAGGAACTTCCTCTTTAAATAAAAGAATTATGCCTTTTTCAAAATGGCTGCCAGAGATGTAACAAAGATGATATCTTCACTTGTATGCATGCTACAGTAGTAAGATTGATGTCCAAGTATACATTAATGAGTGGTAGAATTCATTTGATAAGGTTTATAGTCTTTATTTAAGTGGGGATATAGTGAAGCCCTCCATCTGTCAGTCTGTCAGTCCATCGTCTGTCTCATGAATGATTTTGCAATTATTTTCAGCTTCCTTCAAAGTATGGCCATATGTACTCAATTAAATTGAAGAGATGGTGTTAATTTTATGATTAATACCTCAGAAAATTCAAAATGTCCCAGAGAAGGAGTTAATTAGCTATTACTTACTAGATATGCCGTCAAGGTATGGTTACATTATATCAAGTTGGATCATTATT